TTTTTTGTGATGTGTTTGTTTTCGCTTCACAGCCCCACACCAACAAAACAAACTACATTTTATTCTCGTCGTCGCCTTAAATTTTACCTTTTTGAACAATCTTTTTAATAATGTCTATTTATTTGATAATTTATTAAATGTTGACTGGTTTCAAGTTTATTTAATTTGGTTATATAATTTTTGGATATTTCTTGATTTAATAAAAGCAACTATTGTGTTTTTCTTTCTTTACTAAAATCTCGAAATTGTTTGTAGATCTGTACAGTTAAGTGTTTGTTCGAGTTTGAACAAGCCTTGCAAATATTTTTCAAATATGGTTCATTGATTGGTTAGTTGACTAGTTGATTGAATGAATGGTTGGTTGATTGATTGGTTGATTGATTGATCTCATAGTATTTTATATATGAAAAAAAAATCCGATTAAGCCAAATACGGCTTTACTTGGCCACTGTATTTTACCAGACAAAAGCAATTTCTTTATTTATATTGACAAAAATAATTGTGAAATGAATATATTGACTTATTTAAAGCATTATATGTAAAGAAAACTGCCATGACACTGTTGTATGAGACCCAGTAAGCCACTGCAGTAAGCCAACGTATGATTTCAGCAACCATAATTTCTATGAGCACCAGCGGAATGTAAAATATTCATTGAATATAATGAAGATAGTTGTTCAAATAACAATTTTGATATATTTAGGTCGTTTATTTCATGAGCAAACAAATTTTTAACATGATCGAATAGTGTAAAAAAGGGTGACTTTAGTAATTTAGTTCAATCCTACTTAGCCAACCTTCGGCTTCATTAAAAAACCACCGGATTTCACAGGACTAAAAGTATAATTTTTATATTCAAATTAACAACAATAATTTAATAATACATAATTTTATTTAATAAAATCATAATTTTATTTAATAAAATTAAAGAGAATTACTACAATGTTTTAAGCATATTAAGTCAAGTAAATATTTCATATAGCTTGCTCGTTAAAACCCATGCAATTTCGTAAGCCAATAATCCAAGAACGACAAATTATTCTAATTATATGAAATTATCCACATAATTGAATAACTAGCAAAAATCATTGAATACTAGTTATTTTAAAAAATATATTCTTTATTCCCAGGCCTAAGCATTGTAAGTAAAAATTTTACAACCAATCAAGCGATAGGATTTTAGGAACAAGTGCTGTTAGTGTAGTAGTTGTAGTATGTAGTAGTGTAGTGGTTGGTAGTCTCTAGTAGTCTAATCTGTTAATGTTCGTTAGTGTTATCTGTTATTTATTTTAATTAGTAATTAGAATTAGTAGTTTAGTTTTAGCTTAATTATTAGAGTTTAGTAATTTAATTACTAATTAGTCGTCGTTAATATTGTTACGTTACCCTTACCGGTTACAGTTTATCGTTAACGAGTCAAGTGTTAGAAGAGTGGTTCACAAAAAATTTTTTTAATTTAAAATGCAAAAACCGTCATACAGCAATATCTATCCTAAAACAGCATCTAGTATCACCTTTCAAAACATTTTAAATAAAAGCAATATTCCGAAATTAGTAAATAAACGATTGTAATTTTAGACTTGGGCGATAACAAATCATCCTCTAATTCCCCTCCGGAAAAAAGCTCCTTGCTCGAACGTCAAAAATGAGCGAAGGCCGTTATATTTATTCTAATTATATGTTTTTGCTATTATAAATTTAGTTACACTTTTAAGGAAAATTTAAAAGTTAATTTATGAAAAAGTTATGAATGTTGTGAAGTTGCTGCTGTCAACAATATTATTTTTTCAATTAATTATTTGATTAATCGTTAAATTAGTCAATTAATTAATTATTTCGTTCATCATTCTTTATTAGTTATTAATTTAGCTGACTTTATGCTTTGAGTATTTATGAGCATTTTCCATTGGGGTGAATAAAAGTAATTTTTTTTTAATTTTTTTGGAAATTTAATTTATTAATTGATTGTTTTAATTAATCTTATGTAGTTATTTTATTTTATTTGTAATAGAGAGACAGGACCAAAATTAATTTTCAAGTCTTTTATATGTGTTAATCACTTGAACTGTAGTCACCATCACATCATGGATTCTTGTGACAGAGAGGTACCAAAATCACCATTTCCAAATGTATTCCACATTTTACCACAAGGGCATGACAAAGCTTTGAAAAAGGCTTTCTACAACATTGCAGCAATATTATTTGTAATCTTTTCCAGTGCAACAGCAGTAGCTATCTACCATATTTTACAGCCCTTTTTAAGGCCCCTACTGTGGGCTGCCCTCTGTGGCACCTTCCTGTACCCCTTCAAATATAGGGTAACAACTGGAGCAAGGAGGTGGCTTAGGGGTCTGCAGGTTACAAAGACTCCATTGTTTTTAGGGTTTATATTCCTGCCTGTTGTCATTCTTTACAATTTGGTTGACTACCTCGGCCGTCTCTGCTGGAATAATATCAAAATCATAGCTTTTTGTTGTTTCTCTGTTCTTTCCATTTTTTTCTTCTTGACAATGTGGCCGATCCAAGGCATCATCACTGGCACAACTAAATTTGTAATGTACGCCGAGACTGTTCTGTCGTTCTTCAGCTCCTCTTGGGTCAGTCTCAATATTAATTCAATTATTTTTTTACACAATTTTTAAATAGACCATTAAGAGATTGTATCTTTTTTTGACTTTTTAAGTTATCAAAAGTTATGTATTAAAACTAATTTGGACCAATTTAATTTTATTGCATTTTTATATTTTTGTGCTAATTATTAACCTTGGAAAACATGTCAAAAATTTCACTTACCAATGGATTAAGAAATTTAAAAACAACATCAGATTTGGTCACCGGTCATTGGTTACTTATTAGTAGTAGCATTCTGTTACAACGAGAGAACAAAGATATTCCTAACACTCGGTTCATTCTTTCTCTGGATTGCCATCTGCTTCCACTTGGTGAACGTTTTCAACGGGCCTTTTGTGCTGGGCCTCTGCACCTTCTCATCGGTGCTCGGTGTCATCGGACTCGTCCATAACCTCTCCAAGATTAGGAGCAGGTCTTCTGCAGGTGTGCCATGGATGTTATTGTTTGTGTAAATGGATTTTTTTTCAAGTGTTTCGTTAAGAGATTGTAAATGGCAATGCACATTAATTGCTTTATTTGTTTATTTATTTATTTTATTTTTTTCCTAGCAAAGGTTTCACTTAAGCTAGTTTAATAAACCAACAACACACTTAGACCACAAGAAAAATGACAACATCATCGTGGTCGACCGCAATGATGGTCAAGTTGATAGCTCTAAAGAGACGACCAACCCATCTACAACCAATCAGCATCAAGCAGTTTATTCAATCATCGATGATGATGATGACGACGATGATAACGGTAGTGGCGGTGGTCGCGTCACTAACGTCACTGATGACGCCAGTCGAAATTTTACTGCTACCAATATTACTGACCATGATAAAAATGATGGGAACGATGAGAATGAAGATGGCGGGAGTGGTGTTCGAGTTAGAGGAGTCAATGTGCTTCCACACCATCACCATGATAAGGATAAGGTCAAGTTTTGGGGTTTTTGTTTCAAATGTATGTTGTTGATGATCTACCTATCTGGTTGTTTGTTTGTTTGTTTGTTTGCTTGTTCACTCTTTTGTATGTCTGCATGTGTTGCTGTTTGTTGGATTGTTTTTATTATTTGTTTGTATGTGTAATTGTTTGTGTGTTTGTTTATATATGCCAATATTTGTTTGTTTTATATCAGTGTGTATCAATATTTGTTTGTATGTGTATCAATGTTTGTTTGTATGTGTTTCAATGTTTGATTGTATGTGTATCAATATTTGTTTATATGCATAAATATGTGTTTGTGTGTATCAACGTTTGTTTTTATCTATTCCCGAGAAATTTCTTGAAGATGGTACTGCAATTAAAATTTGTGATTGCTTGTTTCTTCTCCGCCTGATGGTTTGAATTTCGTTTGTTTGTTTTTTCGAAGCGCCCTCTGTATCTGACTGTTTTTGCATTTAGAGTTTTGTATCCTTTCAAGTGCGTTTTTTTGTTTTGGTAAATATTTATGTTTGTTCATCTTATGTCCTGCTACAATCAGTATAATAAATCTTTATGGAGTCATTAGAAACTCAGTTGTTTATCTATCTATTCATTTGTCTATCTGTTTGTCTGTCCGTTCATCTATTAATTCACCCATTAATCAATCTATCCTTTCATCCATCCATCCATCTATCCATCCATTTATCCATCCATTTATCCATCCATCCATCCATCCATCCATCTGTGATGATATATCTATGATATCTTTGATAAGATAATAAACACTTATTGAACGTGATATTTTTCGTTGGTATTATGCTTGGTTTATGGGCATATTTTTTTCACACCTACTAAACATTATTCTGAAATTTTTTCATTTCACCAGAAATAAGAACTGCTTTTGTGTACCAAAGTACGTATATATGCATTAGGATTTTTGAGGCCTACGTTCTAGTTTACACACGCTCACACACACACACTCTCTCTCTCTCTCTCTCACACACACACACACACACACACACGCACACACACACACACATATATAATAGGTGTTTGAGAAAATGTGTATGCTTTTAACGTTGCCCTAACACGTGTTGAAACAATTCAGCAATAAATACATCAGCAAATACTTCATAACTACTCATTGTTGTTTGAAAGTCTGCATCTATTTGGAGATGAGTTTGTAATTGATATTGTAATTAGATAAAATGTAGAGCTGCCAAAATCATTAGGTATGTGTGTGTGTGTGTGTGTGTGTTGTACGTATATATGTCTTTCTATGTGTGTGTGTGTGTTGTACGTATATATGTCTTTCTATGTGTGTGTGTGTGTATGTGTGTGTGTTTGTGCATGTGTGTATGTGTGTGTGTTTGCACGTACGTATGTATGTATGATTTTCAATAAGCGTGTGTATGTGTATATGTACATGTGCGTGTTTGCTTGTTCATGAATGTTTGTATATGCCTGTATATGTGCGTATTATTATTATTATTTTTTTTTTTTTTAATTTAATTTCGCCACTAGGTTTTTTTAATAGTTTCAATTGGTTTTTAATTAATTTTAATTGATCAGATCAATTAAAATTACTAATAACCTCGTTAACTTAGCAGTATGGTCATCATAGGCAATTCATTGCTATGGAAACATTAACTGAAAGAATTATTTTTGTTATGTATGCAATCTATACATAGAGGATGACGAACTTTATAACATAATACAATAATACAATTTATAATATATAGATTTATATTATTCTATAATATATTTTATTCTATGAAATTTTTAATTATCACTACAAGAAAAATTACAACAAAAATTACATATAGAAACGATTAATTCTTCTTTTTCGTGTGTGCTCTTTATGTGGAAAATAAAAGAGCTACTTTCTTGTAACTATTAAAGGATAGTCCGGATTCAGTGAAACAGCAGCTCTTCCTTCCATTAAGTGATTACGAATCCGCTGTGGCTGGCGAGGCTGGCGGCGGTGGCTGTGGTAGTGGCGACAATGGTAGTAAGAAAACGTTCAGTGATTACTGCCTGATGGTACTTCTCTGGTGTACTGTCCTTGTACAGCTCTGGCTCTACAACATACTCTTCATCATCATTCCTCTACTCTTACTTTGCTTTATTGTCAAAGTTTTAGGTTAGTTGTGATGATGGTTGGTTGGTGGTGGTTGGTAGTGGTTTGGATTTCTCAGAGTTTGGTTGTTTGTGTGTTGTTTTTTGTTTGTTTTTTTCTATAAGTAGTTTTTCTTGTAATTTTTCAGGTCTGGGGTTTATGTTTCATGAATCGTTGAAATACCATATTTTTATTTATTATTTTCACTGATTTATAATGATGATTAAAAACTTGTTTGAGATTGGAGATTCACTTTTAATGATGATTAAGATTAACTTTTCAACGCGCATTTATTCACAACCAGACAACTACTTGGAAGTCTGGTCACTGCTGACAGGCTGGTTCTCGTCCAACCTTGACCTTCTGAAGCAGAACCTCAGCAATGGTTCGAGACTCGGGGTAATCATTCCATGGCCTGTCAGATTCATGTTCAACATCGTTCTCGATGGCGATTCGAAGGTTGGTTCGTTGGTTGATTGGTGGTGTTTATTGATTGGCTGGTTGAAATTATTCTGTTTATTGATTGGTTGGTTGGTTGAAATGATCCTCTCTATTGATTGGTTGGATTGGCTGGTTAATTGATTGATTGGCTAAAACCATCAGGTCGATTGAATGAATGCTTTAAATTACTTGTTTTTTAACTAATTATTTTGTTTTCCAATCAATTTATCCATCCATGTATCCGTTAATCCATGCATTCCTCTATTCATTCATTTATTTATCCATCCATTCATCCATCTATGCATCCATCCATCCACATATTCATCCATCCATCCATGCATCCATCCATCCATTCATGCATGCAGTTGATATGCATGTTGGACAAGTCGATAGATAAGATATGCAGTGCTTTCATTGTTGTTCTTTTGGTTCTCGGCGTTGGTCTGCTTGCTGTCCTTGCCGCCCTCGAGGTCAGTCAGTTGCTGCTGCAGCTGCTTCTGCTGCTAATTAGCATTAATTATTCACAACTCATTAATTTAGCTGGTTAATTAATTAATTTTTGGCTACTCGATGATTATAATTAATGATGTTAATGTGTTCAATAATAAATAACATTAGTAATAATAATTATGATTAACGGTAGTTATATTTAATGGCAGTTATAATTAATGGTAGTTATAATTAATGATGGTTATAATTAATTAATAATAATAAAGTCTTAAATGGCCAGCGTCAGTTGTGTTTATAATAATAATAATAATTTTCCCACCGCGCCTACTACGCCAAAATTAATTATTATTTTCATAATTCATGGTTTGTAAGTATTATAACACGCACACACTCGCACACGCACACACACACACGCTCACACACACACGCACACACACAGGTTCACAAAGAGAGCATGCATCTTGTTCAGATAAGTAGTAACGTATTTAACAAGAGTGAACATCCTGAGTTTACGAGGTGGGTGATTGGTTGGTCGTTTTGAATGATAAATTCCATTTCAATGATAATTCATTAATTCACCAATCACTCGGTCATTCATTCATTCATTCATTCATTCATTCATTAATTAATTAATTCATTCATTCATTCATTCATTCATTCATTTCTTCTTTCATTCATTCATTCATTGATCATGAAAGGTGGCTCCCAGATGATGAGGTGCTACAGAACACGTTGGATTCCATGGTTAAGAATGCCTACGTCTATGGCAGGGAGTGGATTGTAAGGCAGGTTGGTGTGTCAATCAATCAATCAATCAATCAATCAACCAACCGATCAACCAACCAGTTAATCATTCAATCAACCAACCAACTGACCACCCACCAACCTACCACCAACAACAACAACAATCAATCACCATCAAACAGTTGAATGGCTTCCTCCATGGCGACGATGCAGATAGGAGGCACATCGAGAAGCAGGTCCTCAAACTATGGGATACATTGTACAACTCCTGGATCAATAAGGTGCTAATGGTGTTGACGATGACGACGATGTTGTTGTTGATGGCTATGATGATGACGTAGTTGTTGGTTGTGTTGTTGTCTTTATAGTCTGGTGATAGACAACCAAGCCAAACTCAACGATGTTTAATTTCGTCAAACAGCAACTAAATTTTCGTGCACATTCAACATGTACTGCACAACGCACATGTAATGTACAACGTTTTTATACTGTACAATGTAAATGCTTCGGCATTTCTTCGCGAGGATTGCAGCAATCACTCACAACGATATTCGGCGTGCATTTTTCATCATCTAATTCAACTAACTTGTCAACTCGTCATTTTTTTCATTGTCGTCACAGATGATGATATCCTGCTTCTCCTCCCGTCAGCATCATCATCGTCACATCACACCACATCGCCATCTTCTTCTCCTCCTTCTCCTTCTTTTTCTTTTTCTTCTTCTTCTTCTTTTTCTTCTTCTTCTTCTTCACCATCACATAGTCACTCACCAGCCCACACAAAACACACGCACACAGAACAAAACCATGAAAGCATATGAGAAGCAGTTGTCTCTGGGTGACTTCAGCATCATCAACGCTAGCTTCCCGTTTGCATACTACCGAATGAAGAAGCTCGACCTCAATCTTATAGACATCGCCAGGGAGAATGTGGATCTCTTTATGTCCGTATGTTTTCGCCTGCATGTCTGTCTGTCTGTCTCTGTGTGTGTCTGTCTGACTGTCTGTCTGTGTGCGTATTCATATGTCTATGTTTGTCTGTGTGTAGTCGCGATGCGATTTGCCTGTCTGTCTGTCTGTGTGTGTGTGTGTATGTTTGCTTCAGTTTTTAGTATGACCTCGCTCTAGATTTTTATTTGTTTTGTTTGCTCACTTTCTCGGGTTACGTCGTGTATTTCTATCAGATGTGTGTCAGTTTGCGCTAAGTATTAAATCGATAAGTATGTTTAATAATTTACTACTATTAAATTATAAGCAAAAACGGTATTGTATTGATAATACAGACACACACGCACGCAAGCGCACACACACACGCACACACACACAGGCAATACACACACACGCAACAAACACATACACGCACACGCACACACGTACAAACACGCTGAAGGTTTTGAAGTCTATATGGTCAGTTCTGGTGACAAATGTTGCACTGTCCATGAAAATTCTCACATCTATGGTGTCCGTCATCTTTGGTGGTGGAACCGCCATTTTTAATACTCTTTTGTCTATGGTTTGTTTGTTCATGTGCAGTTAAATGGAGAATATATTTATAAATATGTTACGTTAGTAAAGTTATTAACGACGTCATCATGTCATCACCATTATTATCTTCTTCATCATCGTCGTCACCATCATCATCGTCATCACCACCACGGTCATCATCATCTTCATCACCGTGTAGGTTATATTTCTGACGACCTTGTTCTACTTGCTATCATCGAGCCACTGCCAGTACAAACCCGTCGAGTTCTTCTGCAGCTTCAGTCCATCCTACATGAATAACTTCGCATTCGCCAAGGCCTTTCAAGATGCCATCAAGTCAGTGCTGATGATATGATGGTGATGGCGAGGAAGATGATGGTGATGGTGAGGAAGATGATGATGATGGCGAGAAAGATGATGGTGATGGTGAGGAAGAGGATGAGGAAAAAGATGAAGATGAGGAAAATGATTGCGATGATGATGAAGAAGAAGAAGATGATGATAATGATGATGATAGGGAGGGTGATGATAACGGTAAAGGTGATTATGATGAGAATGTCCGAATGATAATGGTGATTATCTTAGATGATGATTTTGAAAGTGATGACAATTTTGGAACTTGAAATGTTGGCAGTGTGTAACATCGTACGTGGTATCTTGTAAAAAAATAAAACGAACAATGACAATGAACTAGCTCCGTCTTCTTGGTTTCGTGTAAGATGGCGGTTTTCTACGGTCTCTACACCTGGCTCACTCACAGCATTCTCGGCATCCAGATCGTCTTCATACCTTCCAGTAAGTTGTGGCTTGTTTGCAGTGGATGTTGGTGGCTGTGGTGATGTGCGATGATGATTTGATGGTGATGACGCGGTTGTGTATAATGATCGTTACGATGGTTTTGTTCATCGTCTGTATGTGTGTGTGTGTGTGTGTGTGTGTGTGTGTGTGTGTGTGTGTGTGTGTGTGTGTGTGTGTGTGTGTGTGTGTGTGTGTGTGTGTGTGTGTGTGTGTGTGTGTGTGTGTGATTTAATACTATTACGATGACGAATCATTATGATAAAAATTAAGTATGATCGAAAATGTGTTAATTTATTTTATATATCAGCCATCATCTATCAATATACCAGTCATCGTCATTATCATTCAATATATCAACACCATCTTTACTCACTTCATCATCACTCTTCCCCATGACGTCATCAGTTCTAGCAGCTTCTTTTGCGGCAGTTCCCTTTCTCGGCACGTACGTAGCTTGCTTGCCAGCTGTTTTCGAACTCTGGTTGGTCAACGGCCAGCCGATCCACGCTCTTGTTTTATTTGCAGCCCACTATCTACCGACGCTCTTCATTGACACCGCGTTCTACAGCGAAATCAAGGGGTTTGCTTGTCTAATCATTATACACCCACACACAAATTTGTTGTCTTTTGTTTATAAAAATGATAATCTGTGTGCTTATTTATTTATAAAATTTATGTTACTAAATACTAATATTAAACATTAAAGTGTGTTTGAATTTGCAGGGGCCATCCATACTTAACGGGCCTTGCTATACTCGGCGGGATATATTGGATGGGTCTCGAGGGAGCCATAGTCGGCCCTGTACTCCTCTGCTGTTTCGTGGTGGCTGTCCACATGTACCAAGCCATGATACAACCCGATTCTGATTAAATTCTTATTGGCTTATGCGGCTGATTAATTTCGTTTGACAGAATTCTATGTTTAACGATTGGCTGATTGATTTTTTTAATGAATTTTTTTAGTCGATACGTTTGCTATGCTTTGTTTGTTGATTGGTCAGTTTTGTTTGTCTTGAATGTCTATTGGTTGTGCCCTACTTGATTGATCTGATAGTTAGTAATTAGGTTAGTTGAGTGAATTTGTTGCTTTTTAACCGTTCTCTCATTCATTATTATTTGATTAACGCTTATTATTTAATTTTACTACTATTAATTAATATTTAATTTTATTTTAATGTTTTTTGACAGCTTGATTAAATTTTCAGCTTTACTACAAATTAAATGATTTTAATTAATTTTGTTTAAAAGTTTTTTTTTAGTTAAGAATTTTTTAACGGGCGCTGTGAAAGCAACAATTTTAGATGTGATGTCAAACATTTTTTTGTTAGCATTTCAGGTTTATTATATTTATTTTTTTTAAATTGTAACTTTCTTGCATATTATGTTTGCCCATCTAGTCGTAAGAGTAATATACGATTAACCCACCAAGTAGCTTGCGAAAAATGCTTCTAAGCCATATGTCCTGCTAACTTTTCTTAATGAAAGATGTTTACATGTGATAGTATTATACAAATTTGCAGTTATAACAAATGCTAAATGTAATTTTATTATTCAATAATATTCATTTCACTTATGTGATTGATGGTTTTGTTTTACGAACTGGTTTTAATAATTTGTAATATGTGTTAGCTTTGTGTTAACTTTTTTCTCACTATCCATTTAAATAGTTAAAAAGTGAAGCAGATGGTATTGATGGCAAATTATAAAAATTTTTGATGTAATTTGAGACATTTTTTTTTCATTTCATCATAATTTTATCTCTTAAAACCAAATTGCTTGTAACATCGTCAATAGTCACGTACCTACACCAAGACATGTCAAATTTCCTATATTCGTCTTCCTCATCATGAATCAAAATAATTGTTTTAAAATTGTCCGGTTAATAACAATTTTTTTTTGTATCTTATCATTTCATCAAGCGTTATACCAAAAGTATAGCATGTATTCATTCATACACGATGTTTGTGTTGTTGATTTCGCTGAACCTGGGAAGAGTGTAATAGACCTTTAGCCTTTTTTTCAAACAAAGCCACCAAGTAAATCTTCACACGCTGAATAATCTCTTACACTTGCGATCATGATAACTAAATGTCTAGTTACGAACAGTTCTGAAGTTCAGGACGGGACGATTTTGATCGATATTTTCTAATCTTGTGTAAGCTATCAAAGGTATACAAAATGTTATGGCGCAACTAAAAATTCGAGCTTATACGGAAGACATTTGATGGCGCCTCGAATGTAGAGATATAAAAATACTCTATTAGGGGATTTGTGGAATGAATCCAGAAAACAACCTCACTTGACTAGGCACCTGTGTAAAAATAACATAAATGGATGAGCACTAAATATTTACCGGCATGTTTATTATCAATGCAGCTTCCAGGTGATCCATGATTTTATTGAACGTGAAAATGTGAACATGTAATTATTCCATTAATTATAAATATATCAGAAATATATTTCTGACAGATAATAAGTTAAATTGGAAGTTAACTAACGCTGAACATGCTGTGATTTTCATAAATAATTGCATATATATATATATATATATATATAAACATGCATATATGAAATCTGATTATACGATATATACATATATAATCTTAACTAAAAGATGTATAGAGAGTATATATACATAGACAATTCATCCAATTATAACATGCTTATATTATGGCTGTATAGAAATCGAGGTAAGCAGCTGATAATAATGATAATTATAATTATTATAAGATAATAATAATGATGTTAAGGATGATTAAAAAAATAATGAATACAACATAGAGGAAGTTGTTATATACTCACGTACACAGACTCAAACACATACAGGCATACATTAATATATATATATACACACATAATAATAATAATACTTTTTATTCAGAACTAATTTTTCTACACAGAGCAATGAACATATAAATTGTTGTCATAAGACCAAAGGTATTGTAATATAAAACACGAAAAATTCAATTAAGTTAAACTTCGTTCAATAGATTTTATATTAATTTCTAATTCAAATGACTAACTTCCGTAGTAAATGACTTCATTAGTGGACGAAAAAGAAATATAAAAATGAAAAAAAAATGGAAAAAAAACGATTATTATAATGAGAAATCAAATAGAGTGAGCAAGTGCTGAATAATTAAAAGCTAAATAATAATAACTATTATTATTATAATAACGATGGACTTACAATTGTGAGTGTGTTTATGTTCTGACCTCTGACATCAAAATGTCAGAGGTCAAATTAAATTAAAACACTATTACCATTCGATGTATTAATAAATGTAAATGTGTCAATGACATTAAAAAAAAAACTAGGTCAAGATCAAATTAAATTAAATAAATACAAATCAAAATTGATTAAATAACTGTAAAAATTTACATAATCTAACTTATTTAAATATTACGCCATTAAAAGATTACCGATGGATGGATGGGCCGCCCCATTAAAAGGTTTCACAGAAGAAATAAATTAAACAAGAATAAATAAATAAATAAACGAAAAAATGAACATAAAGAACACAACTTATATATATATATATATATATATACATATATATATCTATATATATTATATATTCTATAAATTCTACCGAATGTTTGGCGTTAATATGTTTATAGTTCGTTTTTTCGATTTTTCTCACTAAAGTTTTTTGGTGAACGTTTAGTTTATTAAAATTCAAAATAAACTTATTTTTCGAATTCATCAGAAGATCAGAAGATGACCAGCCAATTAAGAAACCTGACACCTAATTCGCACCAAAGTTCAATTTGACAACACCAAAGTTAATTTTTACAACGTCAAAGTTAATCTTGACAAAGTCAATATTTCCCTATATATACAACAAGGAGCACTGACGATGATTCATTCTGAATTGAAATATGGCCTTATTTGCAGCATGAGTTCGAAAGATAAGTTTATTTTGAATTTTAATAAACTAAACGTTCACCAAAAAACTTTAGTGAGAAAAATCGAACTACAAACATATTAACGCCAAACATTCGGTAGAATTTATAGAATATTGTAAAAATTATGGTCTATTACCAACATATATTATATATATATAGTAACATATAGATACATGTTATATATATATATATATATATATATATATATATATATATATATATAGACGTACAAGTATGGGGTGAGCATAACTAGAAAAATAAAGTAGAAAAAGCAAATAAATATTAAAACTTATTGGCATAATTATTATTATTACTATTTTTTAAATTAATATTTTCATTATGATTGGTTGATTTTCAACATAAATTAAGAATTACTAACACGATGCATATCAAATAGGTAATTAAGTATATATATATATATATATATATATATATATATATACATATATACTGAATTTGACTGAGAATAAAATGCCTGATGAATCAATGTATATTAATAAAAATAATGAACACTTACACGCACGCATCATAAATACATACATACATATATATATATATATATATATATATATATGTACACTTAATATATATATATATATATGTAGACACTTAATATATATATATATATAATAGGTATATATATATAAACTAATAAATGCCATAACAATAAGACTCATATCGTTGTTAAAAGTGCCATTCGTTCTATTGCAAAGAAATGCTAATAAATTTAAACAATAAAGATCATAATGATGATGACGATGATGACGACGATGATAATGATTTTGGTGATGAACTTTGAAGTAAAAAAGCTAATGCTATTCTAAATAATGTAGACTGTGCTGGTAAAAATGATGAAGAAGATGAGGATGGTGATAAGGATGATGAAGATGATGATAAAGATAGTTTTGATAATAAAGATGGAGGTGACACTAAAAGTGACGATGACGATGATGGCGGTGATAACGATGTCATTGATGATGATGAAAACGATGATGATGTTCTCAATAATAAAGACGACGACGACGACGCAAATGATGCATTACGTAATGAACGCAAAGATGGAAAAGAAGTTGCGACAGCTACTATGAACCACACTACTGTCGCAACGACATCAAACCAGCTGCCATCTATCGTCAAACAAAACGTCATTATCATCATCATCGTCGTCACAATCAGTGACGTCACATTATGATGAGAGAGTAGAGGGAGTGCGTACGATCGATAATGGTGATGTTGGTTGTAGTAGAAGGACTTTGTAAACCGGTGGTGATTGTTGTTGAGGTAACTGTGGTCCCGACGACCCGCGGACGATCCGGGGATGCCATACAGGATCAGGGACCAATTCTTCAATGTGGCTGTCGGTGGGTAAATGGTGTTTAATGTTCACCACGTGGTCAGCAGTGTAAACATTCGCAATTATAACATCAACAACAATAAAAAACCACATTCCATCAAAAGATGAACGCCTGTCCACAAAAACCCCCCAACTTACATATACTGCTACCTGCTGTGACCTCCAACTTCCAGGTCCCCGTCGAGCTCTCGCCCCAACAGTGGGTCGTCATGAAAGCCCAGTTGGTGAAACCTTCTGCCGACGTGTCCTTGGGCCTCTGACTGAGTAGGGTCGATTTAGTACCGGATGGTGAGGTTAGGAAGATCTGGACTTCGCCTGTTTTGAAAAATGATGATTTATAGGATGGTGGTGTGATGATTGTAAAGTAAACTACAGCTAAGATGATAGTGAATGGTGCCAAGTAGAACTGGTGATTATTTGATGGTGATGAAGATGATAGTGATTTTGATCATGATGACGGGAATGTGAAAACCACACAGACACATATACAGACAGACACACAAACGCAAACCCCTATTTGAAGTAGATAATGTAATGATGGCCTGCACATGCTCCAGGTAGCTGACCTTGTTCGGTGTGCCTCGACAGCCCTCGGACAACAATTCCAACTCCAATCTGCCAAACACTGGCGCTCCCCGTCTGATGACGTCATAATGTGACGATGGTGATGATCATTTTTATGACAATATTCATTTGAATGATTAGATAATTATGACATGATAGTGACCGATGTACCCATTTTTATGATTAAACGATGGTAATAACAGTCAGAAAGACAAACAGACATTCAGACAGACGTCTAGACAGACATATTTTCAGACAAATACAGAAACTTACCCGGGAATTCCATTGCCGACGTAAGTGAGATGACACTGCCTCTGAGGTGGAAGGGTGGTCCAGTTCTGCGCCAGGTTGATCATTGCTGCCACGTCCAACAGGCCGTAACCGAAGTGGTGGCTGACTGGTGGTGAAATGATCAAAGTCGTTAGTATCAAACTATACTGCGACACTCTTTTCAGTATTAACCTTGGTATCGGCATTCGAGTACCGATCTCGCCGATACTTCTTATATAAAAAGATGTATACCAAAGAAATAAAAATGACCACCTTTCCTGCCAAGAGCATTCTTCGTCCAATCATTGGCATTCAAACTTTCAGGTCTTGACGTCAGGACGACAATATTCTGCATGTCACGCCATGTTAAGTAAGGACTGCATTGTTGTTGTCGTTGGTGTTGTCGGTGTCAATCGTCAAACTACTCACACATTATATTATAATAACTTTCATCACATCTACTTATAAATAATTAACTCTTTATGTAATGTAACTACTATTTTTCAGATGTAGCAACAACAAGCACAACACACAGTACACGTGAATTAATGCATCATGCAGATTGTATACTACAGATGAAAATGTCTTTGCGCTCGAACCAAGTCTCTGCAACAGCAGCGTCAGGTACGTTAAAAATTAGGCCAGCCGAAACTATATCGATATTCTAACAAAATACAAAAACTAATGAACATTTATTTTCCACCTGGCTTGCAATACCAAGGCACAAATGCCGGCTGCTATGGGTGCACTGGCTGAAGTACCTGTTAATGTTACGGTGATGTCATTTTGTAAATGTTATGTTGATGTTATGTAAACGTTATTTTGATGTTATGTTGATGCTACGATAATGTTATGCATGTTAAACTGTAACTTAAAACAGTACTTCTCAAACTTTTTGGTTCCGCGGTATTTGGTTAAAAAAATTTAATTAATTACGAAATGAGTTATTCAGTTTATATATCAATTTCAAAATTATAAATATATTTTAATTTAGCAATAACGTCGTTAACTCATAGTTTTACCGGGTATTTTACTCGAAACATGTGCAAACAACTGATAACGAGAAATTGAATATTTAATATTAACAGGATAGTTAATTGCTCAGGCGTCTTTTCGCGTTACCGGCAGCTATTTATGAGCGGACTGTCGTCGGTCCGCGGACCACCACTTTGAGAAGCACTGACTTACAATACGTCAGAGTTATGTTGATCTGATGTTAATGTTATGTCGATGATGTTATCTTGATGTTACGGAGTCAATTGAACGGAACTGACCGGTGTGTCCTTCAGTGCAGCCCCTCCTCAAATCTGTGGTCACCTTTCAATTTAATTCATCAAGAGATGCAATAAAACAGCACTTACTTTTTTTTACAACAACATTTTACCACAACATTTTCAAGTCGTCTTTTATCTTTTAATGTCACTTAACAAAAGCTTATAGAAATTGAAATAAACATTTAAAAAAACAAGTAGCTACTCGAAATTTTTTCAACACTTTTATAAACACCATTGCACAAAAATTTACAGATTAAAAAGATTAAATAATGCACAGAGATAGGAATACAAAGAGAGAGAGAGAGAGAGAGAGAGAGAGAGAGAGAGAAAGAGAGAGAGAGAGAGAGAAAAAAGACCACCAACAATTTGCCTCTCAGTGCCAGACCCACTGCTGTAGGTAGTGGCCAGTGTGGACGAGCATGCCTCGGAGTACCAGGGCACGTCCCCGAACTCCGTGGCACTACTGATGGACAGGGTGTATATGCTGTTCGTGTATCCATCGCAGTTGCAGCTGTCACTGTTGTTGCCTCCATTTCCTGAGGCCCAGATGAAGATAGAACCAAGACTGCGTCGGCCCTGTTGTGGTGGTGGTGCCGATGTTGAGATGTCATGTGTGGAAGTGAGTGGGTGGATGGATGTGATGCTAATCATCAACGTTCTTCGATAGCTGCTGTATTCCAGCCAGCCCGTCAAACAACCAGCAAACCAACCAGCTAACTACTAACCAGAGTGATGCCTTCAACCAGCGCTCTCCACGCCAGAGGGGCAGGCCCGTCCACCGTGACTCCATCATCATCTGGACCCCAGGAAGAACTGTAGATGGAAATGTGCTGACGCTTCCAACTCAATGATTGGGCTTCAACTGCATCTGTCACATCGCCATCCAGCATGCGAATACCTAAGTATTTGAGAAAAATAACTCCTACTGTTCAAAGATAATGAACAATTTGATCAACCGACCAGTCAGACATATTAAATTGATGAAACCAATCATCAAACAATAAAATAACCAACCAGCCACTTAACCAACCACAATAAATTGCCAAAATTAATCAACTAATCACCTCCAATTCTAGCTTCATAAGCCACGCCTATGCTACAGATGTTGTTGTTGGCTTCGGCAGCAACTTCACCAGCACACCTGGTACCATGTCTGGAGAGAATGGAAAAAAACTTGCATGTAAGACGATTGAGTAACTAACAACACACACTGAGGAACTGGTAGTAAGGACTTTCACTCTCTCTCTCTCGCGTTTAACACAATTGAGACACACACACACACACACACACACACAGTGTACATGAAAGATTTGTCCTCATTTGAATACTCATACAAATCAGTTCACGTGTAATGGTAACGGGCGTCTGCCACTCTGCGCTGCAGTGACTGAGTTTGAATGCAAAGAGACTCATATTAAATATGCGTGGTGTGATGATTCACGCGATACCCACGATAATAATAATAATATGTTAATTAAATCAGCCAGCCAGCCAGCCAGCCAGCCAGCAGACCTGTTTTCATTTGAATATTCATATCTTGGTTGTGGGTCTGGATCTTGGTCATTAACATCGTAGCTGGCCTCTGGGTCCTGATCATTATCATAATGATAACGAAGATGGTGGCGGCGAAGGTGATAATGATTAAAAAGATAATAATGACAATGATAACAACGAGACGACAATGACGATTTCGACAGTTAAATGAATGGCAAACCATAGTATCAATAATTTGAAAACAAGAATGAATAAAATATGAATAGAACAAGAATTTGTGATGAGACTGTAAGGAGAAGGAGATAATTTCGATTGCATTGGTGATCTAAATAAGGTGGTGACGATGGAAACGATGACGCATTTACTAAATGATGATAGAAACATCTGAAAATGATGATAGCAGCTATAACTCAGCAATAAAACTCGTCACTGTCGTAACTAACGTAGTTTTTCCTAATGTCCGGATGATCTTTCTCAATGCCGTCATCGAGTATGCAGACGACAACACCCTTTCCTGTTATGCCACTCCGCCAGGCAGGGATGATGTTCATGTCCAGCCCATTACCTCGATTCTGATTGGATGGTTGAAGTTGAATGATTGGTTAAATAAGTGGTAGATTGAATAAATGGTTGATTGATGTTTATCATCATTATAAACGTTCACATCATCATCCTACTAAGTTGCAACCATTTCAATCATCATAAACACCGATCAAAACCCAATCTCAACCAGCATCCATAACTACATACCCACATTCCCTAACTAACCAGATACCACATCCGCGGCCATTTTGGATCGGAAAAACCCAGACCGCCACCGGAACTCCTCTTCACCCTTTTCAAGACAACCTGCTGTTCAACCCATTCCACCTGGAATTAGGTTAAAAGGAAGGTGATTAATAACACGCAGGTATGTGTGCGTTTGTCAGGATGTGCGTGCATTAGTAAGTTACTGTGTGTTTGTTTGTGTGTGTGTGTGTGTGCGTGCGTGTGTATACACGTGCCTAATCGTTTTTATGAAGCAGGCAAAAGATTTGCATGCTATTAGGTAGAAGACAAAATCCACACTTCAGACTTTAACAGGGCTAGCAGTACAGTGGCTATATTAGTGGTGGGAGTGGTTTAGTAATAAGAGCTGTAATATATACCAAGGTTAGAAGAAACAGTAGTAGTAGTAGCAACAGTAGTAGTATTAGTAGTAGTAGTAGTGGCAGTACTAGTAGTAGTAGTGTTAGTTGGTTGCCAACAAACATACCACCAACAACCTTAGCTAGCAAGTTTATTAATTATTTGACTTGGCAATAAGATGGAGAGAATAATGTGTGCAAGAAGGACAATTTGTTGGATCTATTTCAACAATCTATTTATAAAATGGTTCCTTCATTTATCAACATCAACAAAATCATCATCCTCATCATCTTCCTCTTCATTAACATCCAATGATGTAATAAGTAATAAGTACTGTAATCATATCACCAACAGTTATTTTTCATCTCAGAGGTTTTCCACATTCCAGAAGTAAACTAAACAGACAGACAAACCGGCAAACAAACAGACAGACAGACGAACAGAGAAACAGACAGGAATGAACCAGAGACAGAAAAACCTTCGTCAGGTAAAAACAACAGTATAACACTTTTCAATATGAAAACATTGAAAAAAACATATATACATGCACAAACGCACACAAGAACAGGTTCACACACAAACACACGCACGCGCAAACACACACCACACACACACACAAAACAACTGCAAAAAAAACTTACAATTAAACATATTCATATAAAATAAATTGTCTACAATCATTGTGTGTTTAATAAAATTACATCATAAATATTTAGTTACCTACATAACATGGTTGTATCATTCAGATTTTTATACTAAAAATAATAAATAAATAGCATAACAAATAATGGCTCCTATATTATTTAACTTTTGATTTATATTGTCATTCATACATTTTGGATCATTTATAATATAACACACAAAAACTTAACACAAAACACATGACACGACATATGTTTATGCCACACATTCCATTAAAACCATCACCTATGTGCGTGCGTGCGTGTGGTGTGTGTGTATGTGTGTGGCGTATGCGTGTATGTGTGGTGTGTGCGTGTGTGCATGCGTGTGCGTGTGTGTGGTGCGCGTGTCTAAAAATAAATTATAGGCATGAATAGAAAAAAAATTCTTTGATCATTGCAGACAATAAATAAATTCATCTCCACTGGTAAATTAATAACAACAATAAATTATGGTATAAAAACATAAACAGATATTTCCATTATTTTTATACATTTATGTAGTTGCTGAACTGTGATAAAAATATGACATCAATAACACATAATTTTAATTAATTAATTAATTCATTCATTCATCCATCCATCCATCCATCTATTCATTCATTCATTTATTCATTTATTCATTCATTCAATTTTCGTTCATTTACTGTGATCAGATTATTAATTGCAAAGAAAATTAAGTGAACAAGGGTACATAATTAGCTATATAATGAAGTTGAGTTGGATAATTATTAGTTAATATGTGACAATTAGGTAATAGTCTACAACTACAACTAATTATAACTGGCTGTAAACAACAGTACTTAATACATAATAATATAAATTCTACACTGTAAGAATACTTTCATGGGGTAAGAATACTTTCATGGGATAAGAATACTTTCAATGGGTAACAATACTCAAGTTACTGAAGTAATTTTAAAACTAAATTACCTGAGCATCCGACAACAATTTGTTGGCATACGAATCAGATGAAACTAAAGATCTCTTTGATATCCTCTTGTTCCTAAGCAGATAAAAGTCTGGCATAATCTGAAATTATAAATTTTATGACTTATCGATTTAACTTTTTTTTATATTTTAATAACTATAATATTAAAAATAATATCTAGTTTCATGTTAAATTGTTAAAAATTAAATAACCATAAAAACAAATTAATAACAGCTAACTGGCAGTATAATTATAAGTGCTTAGTTGTGCATTAACATTACAGTATTACACAATAGCCTGGTTCAAAAACTAACTGTCGAAAGATTATTGTTAATGTATGATTTGTGTTATGATATGAAGTTTGAGCATACATTCAAATGTGAAATGTGTGTGTAACTCATGTGGTGTTGTGGCCATAGCTTTTGTGGCACAAAAAGTTAAGTAATGAAGTAAAAGGGATATTATTAATAATAATGAAGGTCTCTGATTAGTAAAGCTCTTAGAGAACAAAACATAATGAATGTTCATCTTTGCAAAATAAAAAAAATATAAAAGTTAATTGAGAAAGTTAAAATTTTTAATTTTTTTAAATTTAAAAAATTTTTAAATTTTTAAACAAACCTCGTTGACAAGTTCAAACCCATGTCTCTGAGCAACATTCTTGGCCTCTGCAATTCCTCCCTCAATTTGGACGGCCCACTGATTAGTGTAAACTTTTTTCGTACTTTCAATAAAATAAACGAACCAAAGTGTTGTAGCCAGGTAGCAAATGATCATCATAAAATTCATGATGTTGACGTTGATGATTGCAAACGCAAACGCTTGCCGAATTTGAATTATTCCTGAATAATGCGAGTTTGGATAATTTTGTTGGCATTGATCAATAACGGATCAAACATTTAATTTTACATTTTTTAAATAAATTTAATTGAAACGATTTAAAAAATTGAAAGATAGTAAGGAAAATAATTTCGCGAGTTAAAATTTGTCGTTTCAATCACAATATTTTTTTATTTCAATCTCTTTTTAATTTTTGCACATTGTATAAAATGATGAAACGCGAACTTTAACTTTTAATCATGCCGTCCTCAATTCAGAGCTATAAAAAAACTTTCAACTGATTTCAAAAGAGAAAGAATTAATTTATTTTATTTTAAATTATTTATTTTTATCGAATTAAAATATTACTTTGAGAATTAAAATATTACTTTGAGAATCTAAAAAATATGGAAAAATATATATGACGTTATTATATATGACAATATAGGGTAACAATCTACAGATAGCGATTGTTAATAAAGGTTAAGAATTATCTTTGATGTTTGATATATTTCTTTCTTTCGAAAATATGTTTTGTTATATAATAATTAAAAAAACATTATAAGCTAAAATAAAATATAAATGATAGGATAACGTAAAATGTAAAATCAGTGCTAAAGTTCTGTCAAGCATGAAATCAATCACTGAAACTTAGTGATTCATTTTCGTATTTTTTAGTCATTTTCATCACATGCTTACAAGTAATAAACAACACATGCAGTATGTTCATAAAAAAACATTCCATCAACGACTCATACACTTCCACTTAAGAATACCGTTTGCCTATCACCAACATCATCTTAACTGTCTTCATCTTCTCAAGTACATTTACATCAAACATACAATAGAGAAACGATCAATAAAATCGTACAATTCTTGTCAACAGAGACTTTCCACCCTGTTTTCTTTCAATTTGGAATCAATTTGGTGTTATAATTATACTAGAATCACATACTTAGAAAACAGATTGTTTGGAACACTTTGTCAAAATAAATTAAAACAAGATCTATTTGAAATGACCTCCGAAAGATGTGCATTTGAGTACTTCTTTGCTAGAAAAAAAGTGTTAAATAAATACATTGTATTGCAATTGTTATTGATACTGTTATGAAAAAAAATTGCATTCTGCACTCACAGTTGAGTGTACAAATGTTGGGATACTTCCTGCATTCGAAGTCGGTCACTGCATGACAGACATGTGGATTAGATTGTAGTTTTATTTAACTATTTGAGCGAGTTCAATATATTTTATTTATTATAAACGCATCAAAGTAGATGAATAGTAAGTACAATTGAAATGTCTTGAGAGATTTTTTTATATTTTAAGAACCATATAATGATAGTATAACTGTTGGCAATAACTGATGAAAGTGAGTAAAACATTAATTGAAGTTTCCTCCAAAATTTGGTGTGATACAAAAAACCGGATTACAAATTTGAAATCGGCGTGCTAATGTTAACTAGAAATACATCCAATTAATAAAGAAAGTAAAAAAAATTTCGTATGTCAGTGTTACCTGTACACGTCATGACGAATTGTAATCAGAATACAACGACGGTGTTGCATTGGGAAATTTGAGTTATTTCTTCTCTCACTCGACAAAGATGATTTAAAAATACAATACCAAGCAACTATAAATCTTCACATTTATTTAATTAGTAATGATAAATAATCATCAGTGGAAGTGGAAAAATATGTACACTTATGGGTACTATACATACACAAAATGATCACTAATATGAAGCTTAAAAAGGATACCTGGACATGAATATATATCCATGATATATATACATGGATATATATCCATGATATATATCCATGTACCTGGATGATTAAATGATGAAAGAGAAGCAGAATGTTTCTACGTAGCTTCCTCGTTTCTATTGAATTTATGCCACGTCAAAACCAAAAACGCTTCGTTTTCCACTTGTTTTGCCTTGATTGGATAGTCAAATTATCATGCAAACAGATTAATTGTTTTATTTTCTAGATTGCTTTTTTTTATATAATAATTCTGTTAAAACTTTTGATCGAAAGACTGACATATCAGTGTTAATTCTTTAATAATGGTCATATTATAAATAGTGAAATATTGATTTGCCACAGTTACTAAATAGATTATTAAATTATAATGGCGACTTGTTTGAATATGTTAAAAAAACGACAATATATTTTGTAATTGTAGTAAAAACAGATGGTAATTGTTACGCAGTAGTAGTGCAACGTTATTCAATAAATAATCGATTTATTAAATTTTTATCGTTTTTTAATCTTTGGTTACTGTGTGAACAGCACTAGTACACAAATGTTATTTAATAATAATGTAAGATGGCGATTTCCACTAAAAGAAAAAAAGAGCGGATCTTAAAAAAATTTGTTCACTATTTCATAATTTTGAACGTCGTTTCACGTTTTGTGACGTGCTGGGCGAGTTTAGATTTGCAGAACCGAGGTTGTTTGTTGCGTGTTTTGTTAAAGATATTTGTCTTATTTCAGTACTGTGTGTGTGCTTCAATTTTCAGTTTCAGTTTTTTTAGTTTCTGTTTTGAAAATTTAAATCTCGGATCTATGAATTTGTAGTCGCTAGTATGTGGTGGCGAAGTTTTCATTTAAAAATAATTCCCAAATTACCCCTGTCACACATGGAATTATTAAAAAATAAATGTTATCAATAAAAAAAAATTTTCACTGATTAATTAAAATTAAAACAACATTGACTGACATTAATTAAGAGACTGAGACTAGCGATTAGTGATTATTGATTTGCATGGGCATTGCTATTTCTCAAAATAAATATTATATTTTTTTGTTTGTGAATAATAAATCTTCAATTTTTCAATTTATTGAAATGTCTATTTCTCTCTCTCTCTCTCTCTCTCTCTCTCTCTATCACTACAAAACATACAAATACATATTTTTGTTTTCAATCATTGACAATTGTTGAACTTTCATTATTGGAGTGAAATAAAATTTGTGTTTGATTTATTATTTATTCAATTGATTAGCATTAGAGATAAAAAGTTAAAAGATAATTTTATTCATTCAAAAGGATTCTTTAAAGAAAATGACCATGACTCATCATACAACATCAAAGTTGAAAATTCATTTAAAGTAAATAATTTTAATAATACTCAATAAATAAATTAATTAAATTAAATAAATTAATAATATTAATGTTTTGAGTTACATCTAAACTTTTATAAACTCCTCTTGAAACTTATATGGCATCTTACATGATTATTTTCATTCAATTTCAGAATAATCTAAGGAAGGATTCATTAGATCTGAATAGGTATGTTAACCCTTTGAAATTATTTCCTTTTTGATTGAATAAATGAATGAATAAATGAATGAATGAATAAATGAATGAATGAATGAATGGATGGATGGATGGATGGATGGATGGATGGATGGATGGATGGATGGATGGATGGATGGATGGATGGATGGATGGATGGATGGATGGATGAATGGATGAATGAATAAATGATTGATTGATTGATTGATTGATCATAATGATCTAAATTTAAGTTAACCCTTTGAAATTATATTCTTATTGATTGATCATAATGATGATCTAAATTTGTCTACATTTATTTATTTTTATGTTATTTTTTTCTTATATGAAAACAACTAAAAAACACTTAACACTAATTATAATTAGTAGCTGATAGATCAATAAAAATATACAATTATACAAACATACTTACATTCAAACATACATACACAAACATACATACACAAACATACATACAAACCTACATACACACATACAAAGATTGTTTGTATTTTGTATTGCATTTCATGTGAAAAGTCATGTTAGATCTGATGTGAGATGATAGTAAACAATGTAATATTGCACAGGTAAAATGAGATAAAATAAATAATTTTTTTTTTCTTTTATTAGTGGAGTCTTTTTCAGCCCCATGCTGTTGGAGTATGGCAATAGGTTGGTGCATCATTATCATCTTCATCCTCATCATTATCATCATCACCACCACCACCATCATCATCACGTCATCATCATGGTGTTTATCCATTGTCACTGTCATCATTGTAATTATTTTAATTATCATCATTATTATTATCATCATCATTATATTTTTCTTGATCATGTCACCATGATGGTATCACCATCATCGTCACCATCATAATCATCATCACCATCATCATCACCATCATCGTCACCATCGTCATTATCATCAACTTCATCATCATATTTTTTTTAGATCATCATCATCCAGATCATCATCCTTTTACTTGACACTTCAATAGCCTGGTGGTCACCCTAATTATCATCATTTCAATCATCATTGTCCTTTTGGTCATTTCATTTTCATTGATTACATTATATAAGTGAAATCTGAAACCCTTTGCCATCAGCATAAATATTTATTACAAGAACCAATTAATATTATTAGTTATCACAGTCTTTCATCATTACCATCATAATCATCACCATCATCATTATCACCATCATCATTATTTTCATCATCATCCATCGTCATTATCATCATCATCATTATCGTTATCATCGTCATCATCATATAATTGTTTCATGCATAAACAAGGTTTATGTCATCATAATCTACACTTAATTATACATTGAAGATGGCAATTCTAATCCTCTGTTGTTGTGTTGTTACTCCAGCTCTAGAGTAATTATTATTGCTGTTACTCATGTTCTAGAGTGAATATGTGAATATTTGATTACATGGTTAATTAACTGAAGAGTTTTTAGCTGTTTAAATTATGGTGATAACAATCAATATTACTTTCTTACACCCCTAAATAATGGTAGTCATACATGCATCCATACATACATTCTATATTTACATATATACATGCGTACATATGTACATACGTGGGTATGTACATACGTGGGTATGTACAAGAGCTATAACTAATGTGCTGCACACGCACGCACGCACACACACACACACACACACACACATACACACATACATACATACATACACGCATACATATATATTTACTTCCTTATTCTGTTATGCATTGAGGAGCTGGTGCCAGTTGTTATTTATTGCCTTAAATCTGTTAGGTGTAAAAACTATGCAAATGAAATTTATCAGAAAATTCGATTTTTACTGATATCATGATGCTATTGAAACAGTTCTAGCTTATAATTCTATAGCTATTTATGTTATTTTGCCAGTTCTAGCTAATAATATTATAGCTTTTAATATTATTATATAAGTTATATCAGCTAATAATATTATAGCTTATAATTTAATATCATTTTAGCTAATAATCTTGTAGCTGATAATATATTACATCAGTACTTATATTATTACATTATATTATTGCTCTTTTGTGATGATTTTACACAACATCTTTATCATTTTCATCATCATTTTTAATGGTTTTGGCTATTATAATATGGTAGACACAAGAGCAAGGCAATGTTAAAAAATGTTTTATTGACAATATTTTTCATTGCAATTATTGCGTTTGTTTATTGTTGTTATTGCTGCTAGCTTCAGTTATTGATATCATCGCTATCATAACCATCATCATCTTCATCATCATCATCACCGCCATCATCATCATCACCATTATCATCATCACCACCATCACCATCATCTTCATTGTCATCTCTGTAAATGTATTTTGTGCCATTGATATTTATTATAAACTTCTTCATAAGCATACCTCTTCATTATTATTTTTCATATCAAAGTTATTATTTTTATTATCATTTTTGGCAATTATCACTTTTCCACAATTATCACTGCCATATATCATCATATTCACTTTCATATGCTAAGGATGAACTTTGACGTCATCACTCTCATCATCATACTTGTACTTTCATCATTCATTATATTATGATAACGTTATTATTTTATATCCTCCTCATCATCATCGTCATCTTCATTATCAACAACATCGTTTCTATCATACTTGAATCGCTTTTATCATATTTCATATCAACTTTGATACCACCACCATCATCATCTTCATCATTATCGCCACCATCACCGACAGGCCCATAGGCATGCCATACGTGGAGCAGGTGGTCATACAGAACCTGGACCCACACTCCAGCCTCCACCTACTTTCCATCTCGGGCAGTAGTTCACACTTCCACTGTTCATTCTTTGAAGATAAGGTTTGTGTTTCTGTGGGTATGCTTGTTTGTCTGTGTGCATTTCTGGGTGTGTCTGCCTCCAAAGACCAGGTTTGTGTAGACCTGGTTGTGATCTTGTGCTCAGTGTTTGTCTGCTGGCCAATCTGCATGTGAGTTTAGGTGTCCATGCCTGTTTCAGTTGGCGTTTAATTGTATGCATTTATTTGTGCTTGTCAGTTTCCTCTAGATGTTTATTTATTTATTTATTCATTCATTTATTTAAACTTCCTTTTTGTTTCTGTGCTGATGTGCTTGATTGCGTTCGTGTGTGTATGTGTGTGTGCGCGCGTGTATGCGTGGAAAGTGTGTGTGTTTGCATGTAATTTATTGGACCTTGAATTTAACTCTCAATTCCATATGCGTTTTTATGTTTGGTCTGTTTATGTCTCTCTTTAAGAACAAGGTTTAAGCATGTTTGTGTAATCTTGTACTTATGCGTGTGTGGTATGCGTGTGGAGTGCACAGACATACACACACACACAATAAAAAACACACACTAATGAACATATGTGCAAACACTCATAGACTCACACACACACACACACACACACACACACACACACACACACACACACACACACACACACACATACATAGACACATACATACACACATACACACACATATACACATACACACACGCAAACAAACGCACACGCAATCAAACACACACATTACATTAAATATCTCTATTCCTATTGATTGTGTGTTTGTTTAGTAAGCCTTCCTGTGCAAGTACCTAGTGCATATGATGGATTGTGTGTTTGGTCATGTGTGTTTAGAATTTACAAGCAAAGTCCTGTAAAATGTTAAACGTATGTGTGATTGTTGTATATTCTCTCTCTCTCTCTCTCTCTCTCTCTCTCTCTCTCTCTCTCTCTCTCTCTTTCTCTCTCTTTCTTTCTCTCTACCTACATACAATTTTTCACTTTACATTTATTCTACATAGTTTTTAATGCAATTTTTTTTATATATTTGCCTTTGTTTATATAATGGATCATTTTGATAGATCTGAGATCTGAGATCTGATCATTATTATTGTTATTGTTATAATAATAATAATAATAATTATTATAATTGTTTATTATTATTGTTATTTTGTATTTGTATTTTTGTTTGTAATTTATTCCTTTTATTATTTTGATACCAGGCTGAGTTTTGTTGTAAAATGTCAGACAGCTGCATTATCAAAAAAACGTGAAAAAATTATTATTGATTTATTTGGCAATTTATTTTCCTTTCCACTGCCGCTACTATTATCATTATCGTCGTCGTCATCGTCGTCATCATCATCATTGTCAATAAATTATGAATGTTATAATTTTTATTTACAGTTAGTCCCACCACTTGGTAACACAACATTTGAAGTTTGTTTCCTAGCTAGAAATCTTGGTCAAATTAAGACAACACTCTACATACACTCATCTAGGGGCTCATTTAAATATAATGTTTGTTTGTTTATTCGTTTGTTTGTTTTTTTATTCATTTCTTTATTCATTTACTTGTCTGATTCACTGGTAACAGCCAATTTATTCACTGTTCATTTTGTTAATTTATGTTTCATACTATTGGATACATTGCTATTGTTTATCTTCTTTATTGTCATTTTTATTACATGGTATGAAGTATTAACTACATCATCAGCAACACCAGCATCTCCATCATCATCATCTTCTCCATCATCATTTCCATCACCATCATCATCATCATCATATTTGCAATACAGGTGCACGGGACAGGTGTTGAGAATCCATACAGGATAAGACCTTTCCTTGGAGCGCGGGTTCCTATCAACAGTAGTTTCTCACCTCTCATATTTCTACACAATCCACATGACTCCATACTCCAGGTCTCAATGGTTGACCTTTTGTTTGTTTGTTTTTGTGGTTATTTGTGTGGTTGTTTGTGTGGTTGTTTGATTAAATGATTGATTGTTCGGGTAATTGGTTGGTCGATTGATTGATTGATTGACCAGCCGGCAGTTAGGCTGGTTGTCTGGTTGATCTGCTGTTTGATTGGTCGTCTTCAAAATTTCAAAATGTTACGCATGTGTGCTCATTTGAATTAAATCACACACACACACACACACACACACACACACACACACACACACACACACACACACACACACACACACGCACACACACGCACACACACATCGTCATCGTTATAGCATTAGCTGTTATGATTTCGGCGCTATTTTTTCATTTTACTTTTAGTGGGGGGTGTGGTAGCGATAGCGGCGCTCTTTTTTATGATTAGCATTAACAAACCAGCATCTTTATTATTGTTAATCATAACCACCAACAACTAATTAATCTGGACCCAGGTTGAAGAGGTGTACAGCAGTGGTAGTGACCTCCACCTTGAACTTCCATCGGGCGGGGTCGAGGCATCCAAGGAGTTGTGGGTCGGTAGTGATTTTTTTATTGGCTGGTTGATGGATTGGTTGGTTGGTTATGGGTTGGATAATTAGTTTGCTGGTTGGTTAATTAGTTTGTTGGTTGGTTGATTGTTTGGTTGGTTGATCGTTTGATTGGTTGTTTGACAATGATGGTTTTATTTCTTTATAACGGAAATATTGTTCATTCAGCGATTTCTATGATGATTGCCACAACATGCGATAGGACACATTACATTTGGAATATTCACCATAATATTGAAATTCATTTGCTATCAAAGGAGGAGGAGGGCTGAAAGAGCTATGGTGAGGATGATGTGTGGGGTTCAAGTGAGGGATAGAAGGAGTAGTACAGAGCTGATATCGATGATGGGACTGAATGAGGACATTGTGACATTGGTAAGGAGATCGAGATTGCGGTGGTATGAACATGTGTTGAGAAGGGATTAGGCGAGCGTTGGAGTTCAAGGTTGAAGGAGTGATAGGAAGGGGTCGTCCGCGATTGGGATGGAGAGAGCAGGTGGAGAAGGACAGAGTGAAAGCGGAGTTGCGTGATACTGAGGCGAGTGACAAATGTGAATAGCGTCGAGGGGTATTTCTGTTTCATCATAGGTAGCCAATCATTTATTTATTCGTTCATTTATTCGTTTTTCCATTTATTCATTCAATTCATCAATCTTTCTTTCTCTCGCTCAGGAAATCCCGCCATACGAAACGAAGCCGATAATGAAGGCGAACTTCCTTGGCAGGGTGGAGAACAACCACACGGCCTTCATACGAATACGCACCAATCGGGAAAGCTGGAATGAGATGCTCGTTGTACCTGTTGAAGTGGAAGTTACTTCAAGTTAGTTTATTCGTCTCCTCTTTCTTTCTCTCTCTCTCTCTCTCTCGTCTCTCTCTCTCTCTTTCTCTGTCTCTCTCTGTCTCTCTTTTTCTCTGATATATAAATGGGTAAAGAAATTAGAGTACATTTTATTTTTGTTAGCTTATCATGATATCTGTTTGAGTGCATGACATAAAATCAACCGATTAGTTACTGATCAATCAATCAATCAATCAATCAATCAATCAATCAATCAATCAATCAATCAATCAATCAATCAATCAATCAATCAATCAATCAATCAATCAATCAACCAATCAATCAACTAACCGATCAACTGAACATGCATTCAATAAGGTAAATCAGTTCAGTCAATAAATATTCTTAGTTTTGTAGCTATCCATAGATTTCGTAAAAATACATCTTTCATACATATAAACGTCAGTGTGTTCACATAATTTTATAATTATTAATATCAATATTAATATTTATAAGATAGATTGACAATAAAATAGTGGTGTAGTGTTATATTTTAGCCAATTATTTATTTGATGTGAACAGCATCCTTTCTCTCTCTCTCTCTCTCTCTCTCTCTCTCTCTCTCTCTCTCTCTGTCTCTTCTTTTCTCTTCTCTTCTCTTTCTCTCTCTTTCACACGCATACACACACACACACACACACACACACACACGCACACTTACAGATCCTGGTCTCTATGCCACATGTGAGATGTTAGATTTCGGTCTTCTCAGAACATTTGATGATGAAAAGAGCATTGAATTGAAACTACTTAACAATGGGTTGAAATTTATCAAAATAACGGTTGGTTGGCTGATTGATAGATTGGCTGGATGATTGGTTGGTTGGTTAATTGGTTGGCTGGTTGATTGGTTGGTTGGTTGATTGATTGGTTAGTTGGTTGATTGGTTGGCTGGCTGGTTGATTGATTGATTGGTTGGTTGGCTGGCTGATTGATAGAAAGATCGTTTTAAGTTAAGTGAGTCAGAATTTTTTCAGGTATTGAATTCGGATATTTTTCATTGTTAACTTTTTTTTAAATTTTTAATTTTTTATTCTAAAAATTTTTGTCATGATGTTTTTATTAGAAGATACATATCTGTAGCAACACGCAATGTATTTATTTTCTTACTTACGATAATTGGTGTTAATAATGTGAATAATTTCACACAATTATTTAAAAGTATGTTTACTGAGAAAAGCAATTTTAGGTTTATTCCAAAGTATTTTTCATTTAGCTCTTATAATTTTCAATTCCGAAAACCAAACAAAATTTCGTTTCGTTTGGTTAGTAGCGACATTCGAGTGAATTTAAAAAGCAAAATTGAACATTTTTTTTGGTCTTTGGAATCAGGAGTCAGATATTATTACTCGAAGTTGGAGCCGAAAAATTTTCAATGAAGGAGTCGGAAAAAACTTATAAAATTGTAGCCATTGATGATAACAACCTAACTTGAGATTGTTTTTTTTCCTCCTAAAGAATATAACAGTGGACCCCCCGAATGATGCCATCTCAATATGTTTCCGACCAACTACCATCAAGCCCGGTGTTCAAAATGGCGTTGTCGTTGCCGTCGTTTCATATCATGGTAATCTCTCTTGTTTATTTGATATGTTTATCCGTTCTTCCGTTCGTTCGTTCGTTCGTTCATTCTCTCATTCATTCATTCATTCATTCATTCATTCATTCATTCATTCATTCATTCATTCATTCATGTGTTTTTCGCAGGCCGTTTAATATAACTTTTATTGTGTACAATGTCAAGTCTGAGCTAGTTAGGATTTTTCTAATTAGCTTTCGCTAACTTCGGCAGCTAGGCACGGATCGGCACCTGCTGCTTCTCGGACCACCACCACTTTGCGTAGCATTGCTCTATTAGATCCCATGAAACTGCAATAAACTTGATTTTTATGTGTATGTAATAAATAATAGTGGGCATACAACATAAAACCTACATACATGGTCATGCATTCAGAAGTACACCCACATACGCGCACACACACTCCACACACACACACACACACACACACACACCAACGCATACACTCGCACACACACGCACGCACACTCCACACACACACACACACACACACACAAACAAACGCACACACTCACACACGCACGAACGAACGAACGAACAGCTACTAGAGTGAAAAGTGAATCAGACACAATGGGCAACATCGTCGTATGGTCCAACGTCAACAACCACAACGGCAACAGGCTAACCATTAGATATCAAGCACAGGTCTTCTTTGGGTTAGTTTTGTTATTTTGTTTTACATTTATAAGTTTGTATGCTTGCGCGTGTATGTGGGTGTTTTTTGTTTCCACACGTTTGCGCATGTTTGTTTATATAGATTTATTTAGTTTCTACCTTTTATTAATTCTCAGAGGCATCAGCAACCACACAAACAAAGCGCGCGTGCATGTGCGTGAATCCATGTGTCACACAGACACACATTGCTTGTGATAGATGGGGATCCTTTTGCATTCGAATTCAGTCACCACAAAAGCAGGAACAGACGCCATAACCATTTCACTACCAAATATATTACATTTATCTGTGTTTTAGGGTTTGTTGTGTTTGAATGGTTATTTTTATTCAAAGTTTATTCAAATGTCAACAATGAATGTTTAACTTCTTTTGCATCCAAAGGATGATGCTTTTTAATATGAGTAGGTGTGGTTCATTTTGCTTTTGTTGTTTGTGTTTCTTTTTTCTGTCGTTAATTGATTTTGTGTGCATATGTTTGTATTGTAGGTCTATGTTTGTTTGCCTGAATTTGTATGGCACAAATGCATTTTGGTTAATGTTTGTCTTTGTATCATTTTATTTGTTCATGGCTTTCCAGGGATCTGCCTATACAGCTTAGGTGTGTGTATGTATATGTGTGTGTTTGTTTGTGTGTGTGTGTTTGTGTGTTTGTGTGTGTGTGTGTGCATTTGTGTGGTGCTTGTGTATATGTGTGTATGTAAGCATTCATTTACTTTTGTTTTCACGTGGTTCCAATTTACTGATTGTTTTTTTCATAATTTAGTTCCCATCTTTGCTTGTACTCCTGAAATTGTTATCTTTGTTTTTTTGCGTTGGCATCTTCATCTTTGCAACTGGTTTTCATTTTAATATCATCTCTTTGCCAGTATTATTAACGTTCATTCCAACTGTAGTTCGTTCCAATGATGTTCGTTCCGTAGTCATTTCATTTTTTTGACTACAACAGAAACGTATTCTCATAAAATGTATGCATACATGCGCCTGTGAGAACCTTTTAATGGGCACTATATAAATATAAAATAATATATATAATATATATATAAAATAATAATAATAATAATAATAATAATAATAATAATACTTATCCATTCAATACATGCACGTACATCTTCTTTCCACTAATTCAGTTCCTTAATTTACAACGGGAGCAAGACAACGTTCTATAGTTCGGACATCGTGGCCAACACCATCCGAGAAAACTTCACTTTCTACAACAGCTTCCATGTTCCCATAGTTGTCTACAACATCTCTCTGCCCAATAATGCTTCTCACGTCTTCAAGGTGTGTTTGTGTGTTCTGGTGTGTGGTCTGGTGTGGTGTGGTCTGGTGTGGAATGGTGTTTTGATGTCAGAAAGTTAAATGAAATTATCGATTTCAATGTTGATTTTTGTGATAATTATTTGAATTTTACTCCACTTTTATAGTTTTGCTTCGAAATGTTTCTATAACATCTCATGTCATCACATTTATCATCAGAGCAACATCATCATTATCGTGGCAGATCCAAAACCTTACCATACCTTTCCTGATACACGTAAACTCTTCTGCCATTCTATTCCAACTGGTCTTCAACAACTCACAACCTGACACAGACACCAATAACAACAGCAACGACGACGACAACTACATCAACTATAATGACATCAACAACAGCAACATCCAGGATCGCAACGACGCCAGCAGCAATCACGTCCTCAACAACAACAACAACAATAACAGCAACAGACATAAAAACAACAACAACAGAATCAACAAGATTGGCAACATGCACATACGTACACATTTGCAACTACATACAAATCTCTCTACATTCGTTATACCTTTGTTCATTTATAATGGCAAACTTAAGGTTAATTAGCCTTTGTTCATTTATTCAGCTTTATTTCAAATGAACAACATCATTAATAATAATAATAATAATAATAATAATAATAATAATAATAATAATAATAATAATGAAAACTCTTTTATTTCAAAGCAAAGACAATAAATAAGTATGAAAATAAAATAATGAAATGTCACAATAATGTAATAAAATGTCAATGATTGCCACAATGCTCATTTTTTAGAAAAAGTACATAGCAGTGAAGTATATTCAAATATATATCACAAATTGTTTCTGTCACAATATATGCCATACGATAGCTTTATAACAGTCTCTATCAATTCATTGTTGAAAGAATCCGGCCACAAAATTTTAAAAAGTGAAAGATTAAAATTATTATAAAAACCTATTGGTGATATTTCAAAAGTATTTATAATTATTGTGCAGTGTTTATAGTTGTCATTTAGATTACTGTGCAAATTATCTGAATATTTTTTGATCTTGTATTGCCTGGATGATTCAAGATTTGTTTCATGACAGACCGTTAACTCTAAGATCTCTACTGTGTTGCCTTGTAGGATGGCGATGTCAGGTCGTAGAGTGTTGAACAGATCTGATATAGGGTGAACACCGTCAATTTTCAAATCTGCAAACAACCGACAATAGGCAGGCGCACACAGTTTCAATCGGTTGGTGATCGCGGCCAAAATTTTATTATGTCTTTCAGTGTATCTTTTAAGTGCGGATGTGGAACCGCAGTTAGAAATCACATGTTTATTTGTTTGTTTACAACCGCAGAGAGGGCACAGAAGAGTTTTGCCCCATTTAAACAAATTGGCGTTTGTTGGCAGTTGCTGTACCAAATATTTTCTGGCAAATTTGAAGAGGACTCCAGCAAGATTCTCCAGAGTTTTTGACCAACGAGAAATATTATTAGTTTTGATGACGGTTTTTATTTTTGATATAATTGTGCCCTGACTCACAAGCGAAAGAACGTGGTTGAGACTTGATTCAACTCTTTCATCTTCCAGCTGTTTGAGCGATGATTTTAGGGCATTTGATTTTGAAAGGATATTGTCAACTTTGATGTAATTGGTTGTTGATTCTTTGTACAAACATTGAATTTCTTTGTTTTTGTTGGTTTTAAAATAGTTTCGCAGCTTCAATCTCGTTTTCTCTGCGGTATCTTTTAGGGATATAATATTATGGCCTCTCATCTTTGCTGGCAGCGAATTTAGTTCTGCTACACAGCCACTAATTGGCATATCCAACCAGTTTCGGATAGCTTCAACAATTAGATTATCCAGATTTTCTGCTATCCAAGTCAACGAGAAACTGTAGCTGCGAAGTTCAAAATTTATTTGAGTGGGAACAAACCTTCTAAAAACGCTTCTGTTGTGGGCGCACATCCAACTTTGAGATCTTTTCCAACAACTGAGTGACCTTCAACTGTAACTCGTTTTTTGCTTTGGAATCTTTGCATTCATAATCATACAGTTTGCCTAGATACGTGAAAGATTGACCAATTTCCACGTAATAATAATAATAATAATAATAATAATAATAATAATAATAACAATAATAATGATAATGATAATGATGCCTAGATACGTGAAAGATTGACCAATTTCCACGTAATAATAATAATAATAATAATAATAATAATAATAATAACAATAATAATAATAATAATAATAATAATAATAATAATAATAATAATAATAATAATAATAATAATGATAATGATAATGATGATGATGATGATTTGAAATGTTTATCAGATTTTGATAATTCTTTTATAATTACATAATGTGATATTTTTTCTTGGTTGGTGGGGATGAGAATGTTTCTTACATAAATTTCAGGGTAATTTGAAATGTAGTTTCATTTATTTTTTAAAAAAAGCATCTAAAGTGATCTGATCTTAATTTAAACTTTTCATTTTAAGTTCGTTGTTCTGGTTTATAGCATAAGATCTCAAGTTTATTTTCGTATTTTTTAAAAAAATTTGACGTTTTTCTTAAGAAATTACTTAAAATTATAGAGTTTACTGATCTTTGTAAATAAATAAATTTATCGTTTGAATCAATCACCGACTATTTTAGTTTGATTTAAATACTTATATCGAATTGACAAATACATACTGTCAGTTTCCATATTCTACCCTCATCATCTCTACTAACCACACCATCATCATCACAAATCGCATCATCACAAGCCACATTATCATTACTCACCACCAGACCTTCACATCATCATCATCGTACTATCAGATGTTCGACATCCAACCTTCTATGTCAAGATTTCCACATGACAACACAGAATCTGTCGGCAGCAGCGGCAGCGGCGGCAGCAGCAGCAGCGGCAGCAGCAGCAGCAACCACAACATTGATTCAGACAATTATAAAGTCAGTAAAGACGGTAATGATAGCGACAATAAGTCCGATAGAGGCTATGACAAGAATGATGATAACAGAGATGGTAGTGGAAATGATGATGAAAAAGATGACGCCAGTAGGACGCGCGTCATTGACATGGGAATGCTTGCAACCGGTGAAACCAGGACTGTCAACTTTACTTTGCTTAATGATAATCCTATTGATGTTAGAATCTACCATCGTTTTTATTATTATTGTCATTGCTGTGATGAATGTCGTCGTCTGTATTGCTGTTGTTTTTGTTGTTGTTATTGTTGTTATTATTGTTGTTGTTGGTGTTATTGTTGCTGCTGTTGTTGTTGTCGTCGTCATCTTCATCATCGTTGTCGCCCCAGTCATCATAATTGCCATTATCTTAATTGTTGTTATTTCCATAATCCAGACTGTTAATTGTCATCAGAGTTATTTCTAGTCCATTTTACTGTTTATTTGTTATTCGTTTATAATTATTTATTGCTATCATTATTATCTACCACTTTTATTATGGTTATTTTACTCATTTCATTTGAATTTCAGTTGTGTCATTAGCAAATAACATGACAGTATTCATAATTATCATCGGATTTACTCACCATATTATTATCATCATTATTATTACTATAGCTAATCATAGTACTTACCGTTATTGGCTCGTTCACTCATTGTACAATTTTTATTATTGTAACAATCATAACACAAATAACTAAACATATCTTCGCCATATCATCATCGTTATTATCACTATGTCACCGCAGAAATAGCTGATCGGTATTTATCATATTTATCTCATACACTCACTGTATTATCATCACCATTACAACATTCACTCACTGCATCGTTATTGTAATTGAAAACATTTTTTACAGATATTTTTGTCGAATTTCTACACCAACTACCACAACGCGTCTGTCTTCATAGTCGGTGATCACCATCGTTCGCGCGTGAACGATGTTCAATACTTTCATCTGCAATCTCAAGTCAGTTGGGTTTTGTTGATGTTGCTTGTTTGTTTGTGTGTTTGTTTGTTTGTTCCATTGTTGATGTCGACATTGTTGATATGTCTTGGTTGTTGATGCACACTTGGTTGTCTTGGTTGTTGATGTGATAATGGCAGCTGTCTTATGTTGTTATGGGGTTGACTTCAGCTGATATTCTTGTATGACGTAGAACAAGGAATAGAAAAGTATTGATTAGTTAGTGTGGGTGATTGATGATTCTAATTAAGCTGTTTCTCTTCGTGTTTCTATTCATTTATTTTTTTTACACACAATGTTTTTCGATCTTACAATAATGTACATCTCTGCTTGCCTGTTATTTTTCTTTGACGTGTAAAAAGTTTTGTGTGTGTGAAATTTTTGCATTTAAGTTTATCACATGAAGTTTTACAGGGTTTTAACACAGTTTGTTAGCAAATATAAATTTATATAAATACTTATAAATTGTATTATAATAATTATATTTTAAATACTTACTGATATAATAATTATATTATAAATATTTATAAATAATAATAATAATAATATTATAATAATATAATATTATAATAATATAATAATTGAATAATTACATTATAAAAATTTATCTATGTCGGACAATTGCAGGGTTATGTTTTAAAGAGTGACCATGTAGCTATGTTCATGATTAACATAACTGCTCCATTCGAAGAACAATCATTAACAGCTGAGGTCTTCATCCAATCACAATATGAGGTCAGTCATTTGTAATTGTAACAATTTGTTAATACCATCACTATACTGTTATTGGTCAGTTATTTCAATACATGTTTTTATTGGCCGTCCTCAGTTGTTTCAATTGTTTTTAGTTTTTGATTTAGTAAAACCAGTTGTTTTTTTTTCTTGAAAAGTATGTGTTATTTGTACTTTTTATTATTTATTTTCATTAAAAGGAATTCAACAAGTTTTAGAAAGACACATGCAAATGGTGAATGGTTTCAAAACATTTCAGCCCCTTAACCAATCATTTTACTCCAGGTACTGCGAATACCATTTACGTTAAGAACGGCCCACGGCAGTCTCACCATACACCCGTCAGGACTCAAGTTTATTGATTGCTTTCCGGTAAGGAAGCAGATGTCGTCGTTGTAGTAATGGTAGTAGCAGTTATTGCCATCGTTTTTGTAGCAGCTTTAGTAGTAGTAGTAGTTTTGTCGTTGTCATTGGTGTTATTGTTGTTGTTGTGACATGTTCTATTGTTTGAATGGGTTTTTTTTGAATTACTTTTCACCTTGTTTAGTTGTTAGGAGAGATTTGATTGAGTGGGTTTTATAAATAATTTTGATTAATGGCACGTTGCTTATTATCAATTCGGATCAGCGGAGTAAAACGACGAATTCATTATTTTCACATCTAGGGCAAGTCAACAATCTTAGAGCTGAAGGCTCGCAGCACCTTTCAAGAGGACATGTACATATTGGATGTCTCCATACTGCCAAATGACAATAGGTTCACTTACATTCCGTCTGCTGATGACAAAACGCCGATTGCCCGGTCGAATAAAGACTCTGCAGTACGTATTCAAAAATACTTCTCTTCGCTAATTAATAAAGTCATTTTGATGAATTCAACGATACTCTCTCTCTATATATACATACCTCGTTTAGATATATCTTTTGTGTTATCATCTTTTTCTATTTTTCAAAATTTCTTTTCCATTTGTGATAAAGTCCATTTGATGAAATAATAATGGGGACATCTTTTATTTTTCACAATAAAAAACATACAATGATATATATATATATATATATATATATATATATATATATATATATATGTATATATATATATATATGTATATATATATTATATAAGTTAATGTTAGTTAAATAATGCGCAATGATAAAATTTGTAAAAATTTAATAATAATAATAGTAATAATAATAATAATACAAATAAATAAAGATTGGTCTCTTGAAGTTCAGTCCACAAGATGGCTGCCGTGATGAATGCTACTCATCATTTGGCACCAACTCCACAGGTTACTGACAAACTATGACTAAATTGATGATAACAATTATTATTATTATTTTTATAGTTATAATTATGTTTGGTGATGATGATGATAAAGCCTGTATTTGTTGATAAAGATGATTGATGATGATTTATGACCTAATTTAGAGAATGATGATGATAATATTTACTTACATCTGGTGATGATAATTAATGATGATGGTTTTGTCCTGTTAAAATTTTGGCCCATTAACAATGACAATGAGGTGGATTACAATGATGGTATGGATAGATATATCAGACATGATAGTCTCTAGAATGTTTTATATTATTAAACCTGAGTCGTTTGTTTTTATAGCTTGGACAGAGAAATTAAACAAACATCTAATCTCTTCATCTCTCTCTCTCTCTCTCTCTCTCTCTCTCTCTCTCTCTCTCTCTCTCTCTCTCTCTATTCAGAGAGGAATAATATTAATATTGAATTATTTGATTGTTTGGGTTACATACATTCACAGACACGCGCGCGCACACACACACGCGCACGCACGCGCACACGCACACGCACACGTACATATTTTTTTTATACGTTTACATAGTTGGCCAGATGTGGATGTCAGGTTTGTCCCTGGATGAGGATGTATACATTAATGACTCAACCATATGCTCCACGCTGATTGGCAGATGGATGGATACCGTCAGTAAGAAGATGAATATGTTAGGGGTTTTTGTTTCTTTAGTGATGACGGTGATGATGAAGGTGATGATGAAGGTGATGAAGATGATGACGACGACAACGATGACGATTAGGATGTCAGTGATAGAACCAGAACTAATCTGGTGATGGTAATGGCAGTAATGTTAGAANCTGGTGATTTCTGTTTTTTACTCAGTGTAAATGTCACAATGCAACTGAACACCAACCAAGTGCACGGCTTCCTCTTCNCAATCCACGCCTATCTTGGCTGGCCGACAATCTTAGAGCATCACTATCATAACTTCTATCTAACGCATATTGGCAAAGTTGTGGTTGGTGTTATTTCTCATATCAGTTTGATATTTGAAAAAAAATGATTTAATATAATTTTTGTGTTTTTTACTGAATAAGTCAGAGATGGCGAAGTGATGTTTATCGATGATTACTTAACACACAGAAGCACAGATTTGCAGTTGAAAACCCAACAGACCACCCATTAATTGTTGAGGTCGTCGAAAATGATCTCTACCCTAACTACCAGCAACTCCTTGCAAACATCAACAGACTAAACAATCTTTACAAATACTTCCCGCCACAACTACATCAGCAACAACCACATCAGCATCAGCAGCAGCAAGAGGATGCGAATGACAGCGAAAACAACAGCAGTCTCTTTATATCACCATTCACCATCACAAACATCACAGATAGTGCAACCAATCAGACCGTCAAACTGGTTTACAGCGTCCTTGGTTACCGTTGTCACAGAGATGCAAAAACTTTCATCCTGAAGGCACGTGAACGCGCCTATATTGATGTGGCGTTCCATCCTATGGATGATTTAGAAAGAAGTTATTTAGTGTTTATCAGGTCCAATTTCCTTTACTCTTTTTTGCTCCATACTAGCAATTTTTTAGATTTAATGTTCTATTGCCACTTGTTACACTGTTGTTGTGTTTGTTTTTTTTCGTTCATGCTTCGTTTCAATTATTTGAACTTCAGAAATAACTTGACTGGTCTCGAAATAATGACCTTGAAAGGTCGTGGAGGTCAAGGTGAGATCCGATTTAGTAACAGAAAGCCTGGTTCTTCCAAGCCATTGGTCTTTGAGATGAACGAGAAACATTTTAGAAGCTGTGATGGTAAGTTGGAAGCAGGCGTTGACGATGATGAAGATGATGATAAGGGTGATAATGATGAGGAGAATGATTATGTTTAATGGGTATTGCAAGATATTGAGAATGATTATTCGCATGGTGGTCGAGGAAGATGATGTTGTTCCTGGTGTGGTGAGTGAAAAAGATGACATCTATGAGTAAAAATGATGAGTTTGCTAATGATACTGCTGTTAATTTAATGATGGCATTTATTTTTTGTGTCTTAGTTTTTTCAAAATGGCCATTGTGATCGAATCGTAGTTATGAATTTAATTTAGCTAATTTAATAAGAAAAACCTTCAAACCAAACATTCACGCAGACAAGCAAAATGGAAAAGTCACGTCATCAGATTTTGCTGTAAGGAGGACATTCACGTTACGAAACGTAGGCCAACTGCCACTACATATAAGGTCCTTCAAAATAGCTGACCAGTTGTGCGAGGGCTATGGCTTCAAAGTGTTTGACTGTCATCCCATCGAGCTTCTCCCCAATGCCAGTCATAAAGTTACCATCTTGTAAGTTTGAGTTGTGCAGTTTTTTGTTACAAATTTTTAAAAAATTGGTTTTTGTAAATGTTTCTGCATGGTGTTATTCATATGTATCTAGCAGGGATTTTGATTTTCAAGAACAGTTGCGGCTTGAACCTTTATTGAACTCATATTATATTAAAGCTATATTGTTATTATTATACAGCTACACTCCGGATTTCACAATGTCAAAAACCTTCCAGACCATCAACATGGAGACGAACACAAAAGTGCAAGTGATGTACTTTCTGCAATCCATCATTCCACCGCCCATAATGAGCAAGTGTGTCCTGGCCGTACCTCGCCCGCCCTGGGAACAGACTCTATACTACTGCATCGTCATCATCCTCTTCTTCCTCTTCATTTTCGTCCTCCTTGCTGCGTTCATTGACGCCAAACGAATCTTCGAACTGGAATCCGAGATCCAAAAGAGAAAGTTAGATTACCTAAATGTGGGATACGACAAAGGAAAGGTCTTTGACCTAAGGTTTATTGGCAGTGACATTTGCAGCAGTAATGGCGGGACAGATGCAGGAAGAAGCGGTGTTGTTAGTAGTGGGGTGTATAATCGGAAGCCCGGTGTCAATGGAGGAAGTTCGTGGGTAGGCAAGGATAATCATCATTACCAACCGCATCACCACCATCAATCCCATCATCATCCAAGCAATAACAACGGTCTCCTTTGCGAGGATAAATCTCATCTATCGTTATCATCATCAACGTCGTCATCATCGTCGTCATCAACGGCGAACGTGAGATTGAGGACGTCATCTCTTCATCATCGTCGCCGTTACCCGAGTGGAGCGGATGAAAAGTTGCAGCAGCACATCAGTGCAGGTGGACCGAGTGAATCCTCAAAATGGAGCTTCTCTTCCGCGTTCTGGCAGCTGGTCAACAACATCACCAACAGCCTAACAAGATTTAGTGGAGATGAACATGTTCGCCATCCAAATAAGAACAACATTTCTAGAAAATCTTCAACACTGCCACCGCCATCCTTATCTTCTACAACGACGACGACAACAACAACAACAGCGACAACCATCTCTTCAACAACCGCAACGTCAAAAATAAATGCTCAAACAACAATGTCAGTGTGCAGTCGAAGGCTATCAAGTAATCCAGCAGATTTCAATTCTTTCCTCAATGGTAATGCTAAAAAATTGGGCAAAAATAAGCACGATAGCATTGAGCATTCTCGTGAGTCGTCGAAAGATGATGACGTCTTCAACAATGATGCTGCTTTATCTCCAAAAATTCCCAACAACGAAACGTCATCCAGGAAAGTTGAAAAGAATAAAAAGCAGAAAGGCAACAGTGCCTCATCATCCTCGATCTTACTCCAGCAGTGCAACAAACCTGTGACATCAACAGCAACATCTGCAACAACCTCCTCAACAACACCAACAATCTCTAACAGAGATTTTCCTCTAACAGCAACAGCATCAACAACTGCACAGCAGACAAGTATCAGTGATTCTGCTGCTAGTTCATGTAGGACCAAAAGTAATCAACTGTGTGTTTGTTGCATCATGGCAGACTAATTTTTATTTGTTCTTTCATATCAGCATCAATTTTATTTTTAGAAATATTTATTTAAAATTCTAAAAATTGAAGATAGTTGATTATTAAAATTAAAAACCAAAAAAGAAGTATGATTCTATGTCACCACTCTCAGATGCCCCGCTAACTTCGAAAGCAAGTAAAAGCAAGGATCTCAAAAAATCATCCTCTCTATCTGTTTCCATTGCCACATCTCTCATTAGTACCATGGCTAACATCATTGCATCCACGACCGCCACGTTCTCAACTTCACCCAGCAGCAGTACAGGTGCTACCACCGCCGCAACTTCAACGACAGCAGCAGCCAAAAGTGATGCAACATTCGACGGTTCTGACAGTACTGAGAACCACGCTGCAACTTCTGCCAAGTTCAAGAAACAACATGCTAATAAGGCTAAAAAGTCATCTGAACAACAGCAACAACAAAATAATAAAATGACATCTGATGCAGCACTTGGCACTACACCTGCTTCTACTACTACTGCTGCTACAACGGTTCCTAACTTTGATACTTCTACATTCACTTTTGGTACTAACTCATCGGATAACTCATTGGATTACCTGGCCTCACTTGCTAAGGACTATCCCACTGCCGCCACACCCTCGACATCCACCACTGTTACTTACACGTTTGCTAGCAGCAACTTCATCAACAGCACAAATGTCGCCAAAGGGAGAAATAAGAAAACTCTTCTGAACGAGCCTATTGATAGCAACAACATTAAATTCCCTACTTATGCCCCTAACAGTCCATGTGGCAGTAACTTGGAATCCTCTGCTAGCAATACCATCAACACATCTCTTAACCACAGCTCTGTCACACCGAAATCTTCGTTAGTCTTTTTCAATTTAGGAAAATTGATAATGTTTCATATTCCTCGATTTTGGTTTGATATTTTTCAACTTGTAGCATTTTAGTTTGACATTTGGTTTATTTACTGTCATTTTCACATTGGACAATCACATGGCATTTTTTAAACTTGAAGGCTCCTAGCTCTGTTTTGTGGTTATCAGGTTGGAGTTGAAAGAGACGCTCGCTTAACGATAGATCATAGGTCACAGTGTTAATATGCGATCCACGCTAATGCATGCCGTGTGTCCGCTAGATAGATAGATACCTCTTAGAGAATAGGCCATAACATTTTTTGAGAAAAATATTTGTAATTTTTATAATCAAATTATTCCTATTCCATTTAATCAATCTGTAACAGCCTGAATGAGAAGTTCAATTTGAAAGCAGGGGTGAAACACTACCAGGACAAGCCACTAAGAATGCCTACAAACGTACAGACACTTACTAAGAAGAAAGTTAATACAGGTTTGTATGCCAATGGAACTGTCGCGCATACTCGTACATATTTGTTTGTTTATTTGATTGGTGCACGACTTTTTAATTGCACTAATTCATATGCTTTATATTACATTAAATGTGTGTGTATCTGTGTGTGTGTGTGTATCTGTGTGTGTGTGCGCGTGCGTGTGTGTCTGGAGTATGTACAGTTTTGTTTTTCCTTGCACTTAGATTTATTTTATGTTTATTTGTTTCATTTGAATAACAATTATTAAGAACATTTTTCTTATTTATATAAGTAAGTTTAAAGTTATCTTAATTTTGCTTAGTCAAATTAATTAATTAACTTTTTATATTTGTTTGTTTAGTAGCTTATTTAAGGTGCTCCAATTCAACACAACAGTCTTATCAGCACTCCTTTATCATGGATCATACTCACTCCATAATATGTCATCGCTGCATCATTATATACGTCATCATCATCAGCCACTAATCTATATTTTTGCACTGTCAGACAATTCTCAAAGTATCAAAGTTTAATAATATGTTTAACTAATTTGATTATTCAATCAAAGCTGTCTTGCTGTACTAAGGTTGTCATATTCAAATTTAAAGAAATCCTCTCCTCTTATCATCATCGTCACTATCTTCAATATAATCACTTCATTGCAGAACAACCATCGTTTTATATATCGTCTAATTTTTGTAACAAAAATCACATTCATCATCTTCGTCGTAATTTCCATCACCATCATCACCATAATCATCATCATCACCATAATCATCATCACCACAATAATCATCATCACCACCACCATCAATAAGGTGTCCTCCGACCATATATGGTACGCACCCCCTCACCACTCCCAACTTGGGACCCCCCGTCTTCTTCCTCTGGTCATTATTTTCTCCCTTTTTCGTTTTTTTTTAATTTTTTTGTTTACATTTTTCGTAGTTAGTTTTCATTTGTTTTAAATTTATTTAAAATTTTCTTTTCTTTATCCAATTAGTTAGACTTGTTAATTTTGTGTTATAGTGTGCTACGATCATACACTGGCACTAACAACAGCAACCACAACACGATTGCAATCATTCTTAATTGGTTTAACATTAAGTGCAGGAATGTTTGTTTACCTAAGGACATTTAGAATGACTTGGCTGGGTGTATGTTTGGTTTGGCTTATTGCCCAATGCTTAGAACAGATGTATCTTGGAAATGTTCACAGTTTGGTAATTAATCCGAAATTTCTGTTAGATAAAAGTTGTATAGAATAAATGGAGAATCAAATTGTTGGTTGGCTAAAAATTATTATTTTTGTTTTTATGATTGTGACATTGAAATTCAGATAAGATCAGTGGCGCTAAAAAATTGGATGTTCATTGGCTTGGATCAGACAGTAGGCGTGTTATATTGTGCATTGACTATCCACACAAATGCTATCGACCATTTGTGCATATAGTGCAGTGCTGGCTTGTAAATACAAGGCTTGGCACAAGAGATTCTTAAGAAACTAAGTAATGAGTGATTTGTAATCAACTCCGCCTACGTTTGTCATGGTTGTTTAATGAAGGACAAAAATTATATTTACAATGATAACGACAGTGGTCATTGTCGTTATTACCACTTCTTATCATCAGATGGAATGAGTGAGATCGTAGCACAGACCAATAGTTTTGCTCAGGCCAGAAACATCATCAACAGCAACACCACCACCAACAGCGAACTGCACTACCAGCAACAGCAACATTTGCCAGCATCATCCTTCAAGTCTGACACGACATCAGCGAAGATGGCGAAGTTGAAAGATCAGGACAGTCATGCACAGCAAGCACAACAACAGATTCTCTATTCAACTCACAGCCTGCAAAGTATGTATCTCGTTATAAAGTTCATTGTCATACTGATGATGATGATGATACAGATTAGGACGATGATGGTGAAGACGATGATAATGATAATAGTGATGACGCCAGTATTATTGACGGTTAAAAATGGTTTTGTTTGCAGATCAGTTAGAGCCAAGTCTATCCAGTACCAACGTCATCACCACAGCTATCATAATCAACAACAGCAACATTCCCGCTGTCATTTCTTCTCCATCTTCCTCTTCTTCATCCTCATCTTCCTCCTCGTCTTCTGCATCTCGTCCGGTTGCCGCAGTTGGCGCCACAGTGAGACGCACATGGAACCAATCAACTCCGCCAGCGGTGAACCCATTGACTGCTACCCACACAAGCAGCTGCCACGTCACCAACACAGCTGACAACATCACCTCCTTGTCTCCCTTCATAACCAGTGGCAGCAGTAGATTCGTCTTCAATGATGCTTCTGATAATCAACTCTTCAGTAATGCTGGAATGAGAAGCTATCTTCAGAACGAAGGTGGGTTGTTGTTGATGTTGGTGCGGCAGTGTAATTATTGTAACTGTTATAACTATTGTAATCATTGTAATTGTTGTAATAAGTAAATGAAATTTTGAAGAACAATGTATTTTTCGTGACAGGTTTGTTGGAGGCGGCACAGCCAGCCAGCACATTTGGTCCTCCCCTCGGACAGGCTACATTGATGCAGAAACTGCTGGCCAGTCGTAGAGAGAGGTTTCTGGACTATCAAAGGAGTCTTATGCTTTCTGGTTGGTTCATTCTTCTCTTTTGTTTATTTGTTTCATTCGTTGGATTTGTTGTCCATTGATTGACCAAGAATTGATTGATGATTATATATATATATATATATATATATATATATATATATATATATTTATATTAATGGGTCGACCTTCCTGATTGCTTGTTCCGTTATCGATCGACTATCTGGCAATCTGAAGGAAAAGTTTTAGAATAAAATTACATGACCAATATTTGATGTCTGTGATTTTAAATGCTAGGAACGATAATGGCAACGGCTGTTGCTTGCTGATTATTTATAAAAATACTTGGTAAGAAATGTTTAACAGTCCTTACCCGTTATATCAATCATGATGTTAAATAATAATCTTAACCGTAACAATGAACGCAACAATAATAATTATTGCATCACTCATAACAGAAGAATGGCCTGGATTTGGCAAGCAAGTTTCCAACCAACCCTGGAATGATTACTCGAGTTTGTGGGGCGTACAGGGCCTCTCTCATTCTCCTCCGTCTCCCACCTACCAACCTGCCACAAGTACCAGCAATTACAACAGTCTCATGAGATACAACAACCTGGAGAGTTGCTTCGATTCTGGAATTTGTAGTGGTGACGTTGGTGTCATCGGCTCAGCAGGTACAAGCGGAAACGCCAGTGGTAGTAGCAGTGTTGGCAGTTCTGTTTTTGGAATGGGTTCGCCAGCAGCCAGTGAGAATGACGGCAACAGAGTTGTGAGCAGTAGTATTGTTGGCGGCAGCCTAAGAAGCGAAGATGGAGCAAGTTTGGGTAATGGAATTTCCGATTGTTGGTTTCCGACAACTTCTCCCTCCCCATCCATCTGGGACACAAACTACGACACCGACACACTGCGCACTAGCTCCGAAAACAGCTCAACCTACTCGGTTTTTGATCCATTCAACACGTTGGAGAACAGTGGTAGCATTTGGAACCCGACGAGCACAGGGAGCAGTTTGAACAATGGATGGGCACTGGGCAGTCTCTTTCCTGTCTGCTCGTCCACTTCATCTCCACCAGCTTCCTCCGCTGTCGGAAGCAACAAGAAAAATTAATTACGAAGCCAGTGTTGTTGTTGTTGCTGATGATGTGAGTGGTCATGTTTTGAAAGGTGTCATTGACGAACGCGGTTGTGATGTTATTTGTTGCGATTAATACATACCTTTCCTTGGCAGAATGTTGTGATTCATTTAATGGTTGATGAATGGAAATGTGATATTCAGTATTTCAATTGATGTGATGTTGAATGAATTGAAGAGATGAAATTGATGATGACGATGATAATGACGTAATTACATTTTAACAGGTACTCATTAAATGCTGTTGAATCTTTCATAGCTTAACCAACTAATTTTTATTTTGCTTTCTCCAAAACTAAGATGATACACTTTTCCAATGGTTTACAGTCCTGCTGCATTGCATTGTATTGCATGTTGTTGTCGATAACGTTGTTATTGTTCCCCAAACTCCGTGCTAACATGAGGTCTTGTAATTGTTGTTGATGGTATTGATGCAATGGGCGCCGATAACAGTGGATTTATGGTGATGCTCAATTGATTGAAATTCCATGCAAATGCTTTGAATTAGTATTGTTATTATTAGCTATATCGTTTGAAATTTGAAAAATATTATAAAAATAGCTTTGTTGAGTTTCATTTGCATACAGGAATTTTTATTTTCCTGAATAAATCAATATTTTTTTATCGGGATTTTTTTTTTCTAGCTTTATTTTTTGTTGTAAAACTTTTTTTATTTCTGAAAAATAGTTTTTTCGGTCAATCATTTGTTTTAAAAGAATCAAATTTTCGTTTATATAAATATATATTCATATATGATAACAAGATATTTCAGTAAGTGTGTAGATTCCATAACTTAAATCAAGTAAAATAATAAAAATGTTAATCTTCAATCTATAAACAATTTATAAATTAATTAAAACATTTTCAAAAATTAATTAATTTGCTGTTTAATTTTCAGCTTATGCAAAACCAACTTTTAATCTTTTACATTTATTTCGCCATATTTTTCATTTGTTTTCGTGTGTTAGTTTTTAATTGCATCACCTCTTCAGGTACTAACATTGGATATCTCATTTATTTTATGGTTGAGCTGCAGATTTCATTTATATATATATATATATATATATATATATATATATGTATATATATATATGTATATAGCTTTTGTTTTGTTAAATTAAAAAATATTTAAATGTTAATGGAATTCAATTTGAGTTTAATGAATGACCTTTCAAACTTAATCACATTACACACACACACACCCAGTTTAATACATTTTGATTTCAAATTTAACCATAATTTTCTCTCTCCTTAATTTTATTTATACATTCGTCTGTCTACTATACAATATTACATTTTATTACAATATTTTTTTCCATAATTTTATTTAATCATTGTTTTTTTATTTTTCTTGTTATTTTTTATACGGTTTCATAAATATTTGGCATGGAGATAAGGTTTAATATGCTTAGAACATCATATACACACGCCCACAAATGCTTATTTTATAAATACATTGGTATATTGACTGAATGATTGATTGATAAGAAACATTTGATGAAGCTACCCTTCAGATGTACCTCAACAGCAATTACGTAACGTCCTGTTCATGTTAGCCGAGCGAGAAAATTGAAACAGAAATGAAAGGACGATTCCAGCCATGGAAAAACGCGCAACTTAATGCAAACATGTATAAACAATCTTAGACACATGCATCGTTATCTATATATCTGCGGCACTTACCATTACAATACACATACAATATATGCCATTCAATACCAGATTAAATACCGATATTAATTTTTGTGTTGAAGTTTATATTGATCTATTCTTAACTGACCTTAATGTCTATTTTGGAAAAATTAAGCTAACAAGCATTCATATATTTGGATTTTTATTTCATTTATTCATTTTCATTCAATTTACGAATATTGTATAACCATATATATATATATATATATATATATATATATATATATATATATATATATATATATATATATATAATGTACGTAAACATCAACTTTTTTAATACAGGTAACAACTGAAATGAAAGAAACATTAGGCTGCTTTACGTTAATTAATTAATTTAATTAATTGCCAATTAGTTTCTAATCTTTTACCTAGAAGTAAGATCCTACTTCCGTGCTGGAAAACAATAACCTTTTGAATTACTTTATTTGCACTCACACCGTCGTAAACCTCACTCACATAACAAAAATTATAACTCATCCTTTGATAAATAGACTTAATGAGCTTTTTAACAAATCCAGTACGCCTAGCTGTAGAAGATATATACAATTAGCTATATTTATATATATATGTATCTACCATGCGTCTAACTTAAAGAATGAATAAATTTTAAGATGATATAGAAATCATTTGGATAAGAAAGAAAAAAAGATTTTTATTTTATAACATTACACAACATTTTGACATTACATTATATTGAAAAATTAACCAGTCACTAAACCACAAGCTACTTATTAAATCATAAACTAATCAATTCCTATTATCAACTGAGAACATAGAACAATATAACATAGAGAATCATAGGTCTTCCCTAATGGGGCTTGCTGATTCGAATAAAGGTCCTTCACTGGGTTTTATGAAGATGCCCTCTGCCGCCTTCCAGAAATTATACTCGCTGTACGATTGGTAGCCACTGACCTCTCGCTGTCCATGTATCGGCCGGCCAAAAGTGTCCCCAGAAACATGGAGGTAGCTGGAGAGATTTGTGAAATTAATTTTAATCCAAACGAAATTGTTCTTGGGAAGATGTAAGAACAGATTGTTCAGAGAAAGATTATTTATATGGGGCGAACTTTAATAAATAAATAATAAAATGGATGTTTAAGGTGAAATAAAATGAGAAGACTGAAAGATGATGTATGCATAAACTAACGCATCAGTAACAACGTGACGTAATCTGATCTTGTCATCACGTCTCCAGTGGTCAGCAGCGCACACAACGACCCAGTGGTCACCTGGTGAATGTTGCAAGCTTCAAGTTAACCAAGTTTTGAAATGCCACATAATTTTATTTATAGTACAACTGCTTCCTAAACTGAATAAGTTTAAAGCACTTGATGGTATAATGTTTGAGGATGCCTGGTTCTGCTTTGCAAAAGCTGGGTTTTATTGCAAAGAGATCATCTATCACATGAGTAAAAGAGAATGAATGACCTTCAATCTTTTTAAAATCTTAGCTAAAAATTTTATAGAAAAAATATTTAACAAAAAAATAGTATAATTTATGAAAAAACTAAAATAGTTGGCATACCATCATCTCCTTCACCTCTCTCCCCAAAAGCACTGACTTCAAGATTGTGGGACAAAGGTGATTGGAATGTGTGGCTATGAAGGTTGCGTCCTGTGGAGACGTGCTGTAGCTGAATCACCTGACCACACTTTATTGGATTTCTGTAGAAATAAATATAATTTGTAACCAGTTGAATGTCAGAAATTCATATTTTTTAAAATGAATGAATCAATTCAAAAAGAAATCATTCCAAGATTCTTGCAAAAATGTATTAAAAATTCAACTGAAATCTATTGAGATGTAAAGTTGTGGTTGACCAACCCTCTAGCACATTCAGCTGGAGTTTTGCCTCTAATCTTCCAATAGCTGTTATGATCATCAGATGAGTCTACTGCTGTTACTGACTGCAAAGAAGATATTCAAATGAGTTTTGGGAAAATTTGTGATGTTGATGTCTATTCTGAATTCTATCTTTACATCAATGTTATTTGCTTCTATTATTATCAATTATCATTATCATCATTATCAATTTGTCATGACCATAGTTAACAATATAATTAAGATACACAATAGATGTTATAACAAACAAATGAAAAATAATTAAGATACACAAGAGATGTTATAACAAACAAATAGGAATAAACTACCAATGATATTTATATAAATTATAATTGTAATGAGGAATAAAAGTATAATAAAATGAAATGGTGCAAGAAACAAACACAAGATAGAGAGGAAAGAGAGAAAAAAGGAAGAGATGGAACAACCTGTTGGCCACTACCAGATCCATATTTGACATCATGTGAGTGAAGTCGGACATTATGAGCGAGGTTCAATAATTTTAATGCTGAGCCGCATGTCACAAATTCATAATTAAATTCTGTTTTAAATTTTGTGATAAATCTTCAATTTATGATTATAAAATAATGAAATGATCAATTTCAATAAAAGAATTAAATAATAAAAATTAAAAATAAATCAAATTGAGAAAATGAAAAATTTGTAAAAAAATTAATAATGATTTCTATTCTGAATTCTATCTTTAAAACACAACACAACCATGTTCGCATTTAAGAAAAACTTAAATTATTATTAAAAAATAAATAGTATGCTATAATAAAGTGCTCCCATACTAAAAACGGTTTAGTAAATTAAATAAAACAAAAAGCAAAAACTAATAAAAAACTAAAAAAGTAAAAAATTTAAAATATATAAAATAAATTCAATGTTGATCACTTTTTGCTTCAGCGTTGATAACAGTAAAAAAAACAACGAAACAAATTATTTGCAAATAAAAGACCATTTTGTTTAAATTCAATTCCCTAATCAACCGAAAATTAAAATCTTAACTAAACTAAACGACGTCGCGACCAATGAGAATGAAACAAATATGTTGAGAGTAAAAGTTAATCTAATTCTTTTTGAAATTAAAAGTGGAACTTAACATGGATTTTAGGCGATAGATTCTCATTTGTTTTGACGAACCATTGCAGTATCACTTCCTATGATTATCATCTTCCGTTGGCACATGCCATATGTATTAAATGAATGATGACATATATACACTTGAAGTAGGCATTATTATTTATATATGGCACTACGTCTAACATTTCACCTATTACACGCACATCTGTTATATTTACATGTAAAGGGTATACATGATTCAAACATGTTACTTTCGACAACTTTGATGTTCAGCAAAATAACATTACCATTAAACTAGTCAATTCTTTTTTTTATTAATTATATATATTTTGAAATTGAACCAAAAAATTATCAATAAGGAATGTTTAAGGTATTTTAAACTGGCATATTGTTCTAAGTACCCTACATGAGCCTTACTCATCTTATTCTTCCTGAAATTTTACATGGAAAGATAGTTGCAATGACTTGCACATATATTACAACCATTCAAGTAAAAAGATGTATCAGAAACAGGTGAATGAATATTTATAGCCGATGATTGTGCAATGACTCAAATGCTTCCAGACCAATGTCAAGTTGAAGTTCTCACTTCAATTCCAACACTTAAATTACACTGGGAAGCTAGATCAACTTGCTTCAACTTGTTGCAGGATAAATATATGTATATACATACATATAAAAATTAATACGTGCATATAAAACATATATGCATGTATATATATATATATATGTGTGTGTGTGTGTGTGTGTGTGTGTGTGTGTGTGTGTGTGCGTGTGTGTACACTATATACACTATATAATATAATATGTCTATGAAACGAAACGAAACGAACTATATGTTCGCATACATACACAGGTGTGTACTCGGGCTTCCAATATAATTCCGTCCAAAATCAACCTACAGCGATAGAGATTCCATCATCTCATATTTTGAGCGATTTTGAACCAGGGTGATTTCTTCAAAGGTGCTACATAAACCAACGTCTGGATCAATTCATTTTTTTATAAGAAAAATATTTTTTCGTTTTTTCAAATGTATAAATATTTGCTTCATAAAAGTAGAATTTTTTTGTTTAAAATTTTCGAAAATTACGTCAAATTGCTGAAATTGAATAAGTAAGTGCTTATATTTCTTAAACAACAACGTTAATATATGTAAAAATGAAATATTCATGTATAAAGAATAAAAATTATTTATTTACAATAAATAATTGAGAAAAATGTCATAGTTTACCCTAGCAACGAAACAACACAACAGCTGACGACGACACATCAGATGAACCAGCCTACGTTTAGATTTCTAATCCTCTTGCAACATGTTTTGCCAGTACTGTGCCAAAGTTATTTTTTAATATAATTTTAATTTTTATCATTTTATTTATTTTATGGTGCCTTCAGATATTTTTCTTTCTAAATTTTTTTGAATGCAAATTGGTTGTAACTTTGGAATACGGGACATTTGAACTTTTCCTTTCATTATAAATTACAAAAATTGTAAAACAGCAAGATGACGCGATGGTAAAGTGTTCCATCCTGATTTGAAGTGGTCAGGTTGGAACGCAAAGACATCATCGCCTATAACACGCTCAAGTGTTTGATGCCCCATTTTACACTCTTGCAAACGCGCGAACTGCTTGTAAAATTTGAAAAGCAGCGAGAACACCTTAAAAAATTGAGTGCTTAAACTTTGAGATTGGTTGATGAAATTGTTGATGAAAATTAGTTCCAATCACTATTTATTCTTATTGAATCATACGATAATCCACGCCCTCAAAGTTTCAAGCACGAAGCAGCCAACCTACCCCCAAATATCCATCCGACTTGTTAACGGCATCAACGATCGCGAGGGCAGGGTGGAAGTTCTGTACGGGGGTCAGTGGGGTACTATATGCAGTGATGGGTGGGACGTGCTTGATGCTGCTGTCGTCTGTCGGATGCACGGTTACATGTCCGTATCGGTCATTTGATGTCTCGATCATCATTCATTGATCATTTTTGCCCACTAGCGACCCAGTTCGATTGTGTTGTTCATTGACGCCATTGAAGAATTCATCGGCATTGTTCATTTCAATGTTAAGATTTATAAAGTCACTTATATTGCCATTCAATCATTGAAACTTTTGAAAAATTTATTATATATTGGACACTTATTTGTAATAAAAATTTACCAAAGTGGTGATTCAAGGGCCGTAAAAGGCACATCTCAAACACCGACAGACTACGGAGCAGGGTCGGGTTCAATATTTCTAAGGGGGGTTCAATGTGATGGAAACGAACCAACACTATCTGCCTGTCAGTTGCAAGGTGTGTTGCGGCTGTTAGCGATGGTGGTCGTCTGTGATTGGTTGTTAAATTATCCAATACATCTCCAACCAAGTGTATTTTCAATGCACCTGTACTGCTTCAAACATTTTCGTAGGTTGGAACATCACTGAATGCAACCACAACGAAGACGCCGCCGTGATATGCTTGGGAGAAAAGGCCACCCCGACTACAACCAGGACTCCAAGAGTTTCCACAACTACTCTTCCTCCAAAAATTTGTTTGTCCAAATTAAATTCATCCCATCATAATTTTTATTGAATTTTCCATGTGTGATTACATATTTTTGCTTGCCAAGGGTTTTAGTTTTGAGAAGAATCACCATTATATGTTTTACCGGAACAAAAGCAGCAATGACGTCATACATGTAATTTAAAATAACGTGACCATTAGAGCCTAAAAAAATATAATTTAATATTGCATACGCTTCCTGGTCACTTTTCTTTTTCAAAATCTATAGTTCAATTTCTAAACTAAAATTCAATAATTATTTCGAATGTAATCATAACCAACAGGTAATAACCCGAGTCCGAGTGTGAGCTTGCGATTGGCTGATAATTCAGTTGGACTGGGCGAGGGGCGTGTCCTGTATCTTCGAAACAACCAATCAAAAGGAATCTGCGACAACAGGTTAACACAGTCTAATGAAAAATTGATACTTCCTGTATAGTTGCAAGTACGGTTGGAAATTTGAAAAATTACCTTTTATTCCGACAAAAGGTGGGGCTACAATGAAGCCGCCGTGGTCTGCCGCATGCTTTGCTACAAGTAAGTTCTAGTGTGTGGTCTGTTAATGTCAGACGGATGAAATATGTTTTATCGTTTACGAAGTAATTCAACCTACCTGGTATTTTATGGTTTTGCATGGTATTTTTTGATTTTACATGGTATTTTTTTGATTTTACATGGTATTTTATGATTTTTCATGGTATTTTATGATTTTACATGGTATTTTATGATTTTGTATACTGTATTAAATACAAATGAACCAACAGTAAATACACGAGACATACCATTTTTTTAAAATTTTCAAATAAACGTTTAAAATTTCAAAATAATTCTCCGTAATTAATAAAAATGCAAAACTTTCAAACGCACTTCAACTGGCAGCCCCACCAACGCCAGAGCCATCGTTGGCAGCAAGCAGTATGGCAGTGCGCCCATGACGGAGGGCTTCTGGTTTGCGAACGTTCACTGCACGGGTTCTGAGAAGGACCTCATCGAATGCCAATATTCAAATTTCAGTGACGTCAGCTTCTGTGACGTCACGCAGTCTGCCGCCGTCAGTTGTCTACCTGTCTCCAGTGGCCTGCCGATTTGTTAGTTTATTCAATTTCAGTGGTTTGTGCCTTAATGAGGTTCTTTATGTGAAACTTTTCAGCAAAATATGAAAAATATTTACATGATAGAACAATAGGGTAAATTTAACAAAAGACGTTAAAACATCTTATAACAAAATGAACATTTTTTGTGCAGCCATTAACATTCCCTAGGATCACGCCTCTGAGTGAGATAGTAACAGTCAAAAGAGACTTCAGTATTTCTTGCATTGAAAATAATTTGTCAACGTAAATCATAAATTGAAATGAAAAACACAGTCACGAATTTCCGACATGAATAATAATTAGTGCCAGCTCCCCTGGTGGAATGCGACGTTGTTGACTTCATAGTTGCCAGGTTCAAACTCTCAGACGAACCTCGTCTCCTGCCAGAACATCTGTCCGTCTCAAATGAAAGTGGCGCCATTCTCCAAAAATGTCTGTACAACGTTACCAAAGATATTGATTACGTTTCAGTATTTATTCCGTATTTCGGAGGAGAATGTAATACAAATAGGGAGGTATGATTCAAGCTGTTTTATTCAAATAATTTCTTTACGGTTGAAAAAATCAATTTACATTGATTAAAAAAATGTAAAAATGATAATGTACGTGTTTGACCCGTCCCAGATAAACACGACCCACGTAATCTACACGAACTTCGTCCGCTACGCTGTGCCTTCAACGTCCTCAGTCATAACTAGGTCAGATACTTACGTCATCAAAGTCTCTTGCGTGATATTGAGGTCAAGCATGGAAGATGGCAATTACGTCCCAGTTTCTCGGAGACCTCTCCCTCAATCCGGAAATGGAACGTATGACGTCAGACTATTGCTATTCGAAGATGCCACATTCAAAACTGTCCAATCAGATAATCCGTTGCAAATACTTCTCGGCGATTGGTTGTTTGTTGGAGTGCAGCTTTACTCTGTTGATCCAATGCTGAAGTTGGTCCTCAATTCAGCTTACGTCAGTCCTTCAAAACTGATGAATGTTGACCCCATGTACTTCCTTATTAGAGACAAGTAACAGCACTTTTCTTCATTAATTATTTTTTTATAAGTTGCAAATCATTCATTTTATTTTTTATGAAAAAGTAAAAACTTCCAATCTATCAGCAAACTTTAAAAACCGCTGTTCACGTGCCGCTCGAAGCGGTAGTCTTACTTTGAAAATATGAACGTTTAAAATATGTTTTCAAAGATGCCAATGGTTGAAAAAAAGTTTAAAAATCTTGTAAAAAATTTAACAAGTAGGAGCCAATTCAAATGAAGGCCTTCAGAACTGTGAATTCACCGCATGACAATACATGAAGCACATCTCAAACCACCTTGAAAATAATTAACATTAAAGATGCCCGGTTGACCAGACGGTGACCATGTACCCCATGAACGACACCCTCATGGCATTTCGATTCCAGGCCCTCACATTTCTTCCAAACAGCATCCAACCCGCCATGTACCTCCATGCAGATGTCCGCGTCTGCCCACTCGGAAATAACTCTGCCGAATGCGCCAGGAACTGTCGAAGTAGAAGGTTGGTGCTGAGTGGAATTTCTGAGAAACATTTTTTAGTCAAGTCAATATTTTTTTAAATATCGTTAAAAACAGGAATGCGTTTGAGCCAGTAAAGGAAAAGTTTGGTAATTATTACGATTATAACAACGAAGCAATGGCTAATTCGGATGAAGTTGATGGCGGGAGTGGAATGATAGATAAAAATCATGATGGTGGTTGGGGTACTGAAGTTTTTTACAATTCGAAACATGAACAAAACAAAGAAAGCGTGCACTTGATGCTTGGATTTCAACGAAAGCACAGACCACCACCACCACCACCACCAATAACAACAACATTAACAACAACAGTTACAGCAAGCAACATAGCACTATCACCTCTATTGAAAACAACTGCCATAAAAACACACAACAACCCCAAAACAACAACACCAAAAATACGCTACAGGACCATCGTCACCATTTACAACAACAACAACTAATACGACAACAACGACAACAACTAATAATACAACAACAGCAGCAGAAATAACAACAACAATAATAATTAATACAACAACAACAGCATCAACATCAACTAATACAACAAATACTAATAAAACAACAACAGCATTTACAACAACTAATACACAGCAAAAACAAAAAACAACATGGGCTCGTCAAAATTACATTCATAGGCAATTAACAACGCGAAACAACGCTTTAGTTGTCATGTTTACATCCAATAGGCATAATTACGCAAAATTAATCTCACGCACCTGAAAAATATTTTATTATTAATTCTAAAAATTTGCGAATGAAGCATTATTTATGGCGATTTTAAATTTAAAGATGTTCTTTAAACATGATGACGGCTTTTACAATTTTGATACATTTATCGTTGCTACTAACTAAGCCAATACTTTTATTATTTATTATTATATATAATTTTATTTATTTATAATATGACTATTTTATTGTATTTTATTGCTATCAGTTACAGCAATGTATTTTAATTTAGTGATAGATTAAATTATCATGGCGACTTGATGGCGTAATGGTTAAAGGCGCTTGGACCCGTTTTGTAGTGACCATGAAAGACCTGCTTGGGAGTTCTTGTGTCTGGCATACGTATAACGTGCCCTATCCAACGAAACTGAATTTGAAGATGAAGCGATTCTTACCGCACTTTGCCAGAACCATTGTGCTTGGGACTTTGTCTTCACTCCTGATACCAGCAATCATACGCAGACACATCATATTAAACTGGTCGAGCCACAAACAAACATACGGACAAACACACATAGGAACACACACACACACACAAACACACATATATATATATATTATGTGTTTTGTTTTTTGCATTTGTACTTAATGCCGATTTGAGTTTATTTTTAATCATATTTAACTTTAGGTATGTAGTTTCAGATGAAAGAGATTGAATGATCAATGATTAATGATGATTTTGTTAGGCGATTGATTCTCTACAAATGATTAAGCAAAGAAAAATAAAATGTTTCATCATTGCTATTGTTCATTTTCCTTTTTTAATCAGAACATCATTTTATCATCAGCATAATTAAACATGCCATCGTCATCATCGTCGTCATCATCGTCGTCGTCCTTATCCTTGTCGCCGTCAACATAAATACAATAGATAGTTGGATGGAGAGAAAATTATGATAAAAGTTATTTGAAAAAATTAATAATTAAAAAAGCAAACAGATGTATCAAAACAGAAAAAAACATTAACAAAAATTTTTACAAAAATAGCAAAGCAAAAATTGAGAGCTAGAAAAATAACAACAGAGCCGGCGAATGGCACTTAAATCTTTAGCAGAATCACCAGCTAAATAATTACGATCAGATAACTACAGATGCAAAAAAAATCCCAAAAAATCCCAAAAAAATCCCAAAAAGTATATAAGATATACATTTTTTTTATATATACATTTGTACCATTTACATTTGAAGATAAAAAACAAAGATGAAACATGTACACAGGCACAAACGCACTCACGCACACACACATACACACACACACACACATACACACACACAACACAAACACACACCCAAAGTGTTACTGTTAGTTGAATATGGGTATAGGCCCAGTTAAATAACTTAATTAAAAATAATGAGTTACCAATTATTCATAATTGAACTATTAAAAGTTGAATTTTATTTAAGTAACTTTATTATTATTGTTATTTATCACTTATTTTTATTATTCTTGCAACAAAAATGGTGTTTACTACACGCACACTTACTTGCACATCCACACCAAACCCACATGTGCACGTGTGTGTGTGTGTGTGTGTGTGTGTGTGTGTCGGTGT